AACATCTTGAATAATATTACCACTAAAAAGTAAAAAATTTAAACAATCAGTAAATAATAAAAATTCTTTATTCATAAACCTTAAATATAATATATGTATTATATATTTTAGAAGCTTATAATTAAAGCTCTAAATAAAAAATATTGGAAAAAAACAAATTACTGTCTTATTTTTGACAATCAGTTTAAAAAAATACATACATATTATATAGAAAATATATCATGTATATTCATACTTAAAATAACATTTTGATCTAGTTATTTCAGATTAAGAAAAATTAAATAAAATGCAAACAATAATAGCTCAGAAGACAGATCATAAATAATTATTTAACTTAGGTAAATTATCAATACCTTATTTTGAAAAACTTGAGAAACCTATTAACTTCATACAAAAACTCAAAATTCTTAACAATTATAAAATTACAAACTTTAAATGCTCTTATTTAACAAAATGAATTACAATAATACTTAGATATAGAATTTTAAACATTTAAAAAGTTAATTCTTCGGGGTATTCTCCAGTAAGACATGCTGTGCAATGCCCAACTTCAACAGCACTTTTATTTGGCATTTTTTCTGTTACTGCTTCTTTAAGTCCTTCCACAGATAAATATGCAAGGGTATCAGCACCTACAAAATATTATTACATAATATGTTTTAAATAATTAAGTAATAAATAGTAATAGTACATTTCATAATATTAGAAGATACATTATTGTCGCATGATCTATGAATAGAACTATGTAAGGTTCTGTAAAATGAAAATACAAGTGTGCCAAATTTAAAAAAAATAGTGTATTAACTATTTTATTACACATTTTACTAAACATTTTTATGAAAATAAAAAATGAATCATTATTAATTAAATTCAATAAAATATTGAATATTATTTAAAATTTGTTATAGTTATATTATGATTAAAAATGATGGTTTAATACATTTTCTTCAGCAAACAATAATCCAATATGTAGTGTTGAGATATGTACTCAAGTTTAAGAGGGCGCAAAACCAACATATATTATTTACATCTTACAAACTGAATAGCAAATTTAAGTTTAGTAGAACCAACTTTGTGATATTATTTTCAATACAAGAGTAAATTTTCCAATTATTAACCTTAAAAGAAGTATTATCTAAGGTACCTTAAAATCTTTTATTGATATTTTAGTTTTAAAGTGAATTATATCTTACAAGTTACTAGTGTATAAAATATTACAATTATAAAATTATTATAATTCACTTTTGAATTGAAAAATTGAAATACCAATAAAATCTTAAGTTTAATAATTTTAAGCCAATTTATACTAATATTAAACCTATTAACACTACAAAATTGATTCTGCTGAACACAAATTTGCTGCTATATGTTTTTAAGAAGATAACACAAGCAAGTTAGGTAATTTTAATACACTTACCAATATGTTTAGCCAATTGTTCGATAGTTAATTTATTAGCAATAAGTTCGGCTTTAGTTGGTATATTAATTCCCATATTACAAGTAAATTTAAGAGGAGGAGAAGCAACTCGTATATGAACTTCCTTAGCTCCAGCATCTCTCAGTAATTTTATAATTGGCCCCATTGTGGTTCCTCTTACAATGGAATCATCAATAAGAATTATTCTTTTGCCAGCTACATTTTCAACAATAGCACCAAATTTTTTAGCAACACCTAACCTTCTTAATCGTGCGTTAGGTTGAATGAAAGTTCGGCCTACATAACGATTTTTATATAGCACTTCTGCAAATGGAATATTGGACTGAAAATAGAAGTAAACAAAATAAACTAATGGTTCAATAAGATAAAATCTTAAATACTCACTTTCATTGAAAACCCATGAGCTGCAGCAGTTCCAGATTCTGGAACAGAGCTAACAATATCAGCTTCAACCATACTTTCTCTGGCCAACACAATACCACTCCTCAATCGTACTGAATAAACCATTTGTCCTGCAATAAATAAGCATATACTTTTATTTTAAACAATTAACCAATAATTTAATTATTATTTATTTTTATAATGCATTGAAAATAAAAATAAATAAAACATTAATGAATTTATTTCATTTTTACCTTCATATATACTATCAGGTCTTGCAAAATATACATATTCAAAAATACAAAACGCTTGAGGGCGATTGTGAGGTCGACCCATCACAGATACAGTATGAAATCCTTCTTTTGTAAACTCTACAATTTCTCCAGGATAGACGTCTCTAACATACTTAGCTCCCATTGAGAGAAAACCACATGATTCAGATGATACAACCCAACCTTCTTCTGCTCAAAAAAATAGAAATAGAATCTTAACTTTTTTTATGGTTGCATATAATTTATAATAAAATAAAAATTTAAAAAATGATTACCTTTATTTGGTTCAGTTAAAGACATTAACTTTCCAATGCAGAGAGGTCTATTACCATATGGATCACGTACCCCAAATATCCTATCTTTTTCCATTATAACAATTGAATAAGATAATTTGGTAAGTTCCATAAAATGTCTAATACGTGCTGGCCAATCAGGACCATCAATTTCAATATCAGGAGGATTCAAACATAAAGCTTGTGTAATTAGTTCACTATCTGAATGAGTTGAAAGACCAACTCCTCTTGCTAATACCTAAATATAAAATATATATATTTAAAATTATAAATGCCAATAATAATTCAGTCATTCAATGTCAAGTATACTGAGCTAATTTTAAAATATGATTGACTATTGAAAAGCATTACATGAAATTATAAATGAAAATTAACAAGTTAATATATGCCAAAACAATGTAATATTTACCATACGCCTTAATCTTCCAGCATTAAATAATTCTCCATTATGGGCAACTGCTAGAGCACCATGAGCAGAATGAACAACAAAAGGTTGACAGTTGACTTCTTCAGAACCAGCACTAGTAGAATACCTTGTATGTCCAATTCCAAGATTACCTACATAATACAATATAACTTTTAAGTAGTAAATAATAATTGATCAGTATATTTTAAAAATTGATAATTATTACCTTTGAGTTTTTTTACTGCTTCATCATTGAAGATATTACTGACCAAACCCATACCTTTTTTAACATTAAAGTGTGTATGGTTATCACCTTCACTCATAGCAATACCAGCACTTTCTTGGCCTCTACAAACATTTAATTTATTTATTTGTATCATATATTTTTTTACTGCATTATACATATTAGGAAAAATAATTATACATTTGAATCTCATAAAAAAATCTTAAGTTTAAATTTAAATTTGTGTATAACAATAAAAGTGCAAGATTTCTCGCCATCAAACAGCTTCCTATTAACACAAACTTCTATTAGTATCTTATGCAAAACATTTCTTAACTCTAGCTAAACAGAGTTTATGTATTAAAGCTTATAAGTTATTTACCTAATTTTAAAGTGAAATATAGTAATTTTAACTAAATATGTAATTTTTATGAACAAAATTAATTAATCTATTCAGTGATCAGTATAAAATAATGAGCTTTGTAATTGATGGGTTACAAAAATGTTGTGTAAATAAAATTATGTTAAAATCACAAGCCAATTAAGCTATTTTGTAAGATGTAGATAAAAGATGTATTGTATGTCACAAATAACTAATGCACAAAAGCCTTTATAAATTGTAAAATATTAATTAAATTATAAATCAATCACTGCATACATCATAGATTTAAAACTAAAACATAAGATTACCGATGCTGTAATGCTAATAATCCAAGACAAATAACTTGGGCTACATCTACATCTGTTGGCCATGGATCAGAAGCTATACATCCAAATACACCACATTCGTGGCGCAATTGCCTATCATCTTCTTCGACAGACATATTTGACTCTAAAACAAAATAAAATAGAACCTATTATGTATAAAGTGTGTAAATTTAAAAACTTATATGTGTACAATAAATTAATCTAAATAAAATAAACTATGTTTATATAACAAAATAAATAAGGAATGGTAACGAGTTTTTATAATTTAAATTATATATAACAAATCAAATTACTATGTATGCATACCAATTATTAATATTCAGACTTATTAAATATAAAAAATGTTAAAATAATTAGTTTTGGAAATTTTTTTATGAACAATCAAAATATGTTGAAAAAACAAAAATTTTAAGAAGGATAAAATTAATAATTATCATCAATGGTCTTAAAACATAAGTGGACTTCAGTTTTTATTTTTTATGGGATGCTTAATATTATTTTATTATGTAATATCTAGTTTGAATATTTATTACATTGACCCATGTAGTAGTAGATGAAGGAATAACAATAATAATAATTGTTACACATAAAGATAAAATGGACGGTAAGTCTGTGTAGACCGTGAACTAAGAGTAAAGATATCAAAGTTTATCAAGGAAAAGAAATTGACGTACGAATAATCTACATGAACATAGATAAGCTACTCGATAATGATTTATAAAAATAGTTACCACGAAATTAATTAATTTTAATCGAAAATGAATGATGAATAATCTATTATTAAACAATCATTAAGTTTTAAACGACATAAATTATAATTCAAATTGAAATAAACCAATAAGAATAAAATTAAGTAGATAGGTACTCACACGAAATTCAAGATTTGAAACAGTTAGACGAGAAATGCTCAAAGAGAACTGGCGCAATACTTCAATGATTTCCGGTTAACTGATACTCTAGTCCAGACTAGACGTATCTCCGGCACTCGACTGTGGTAGTGTGGCATATACGACTTTAAGTCTATTACACATTTGTGTTTCAAATTTTTGATACCCGTTTCTACTGTTTCAAGCACGTTTTTTTGTTTACGTTTTCATTCAGCCGCCAAAGTCCAAACCGGTTTGAATCTTAAATACATTAAACGATTTTTAGGTTAGTTGTTATCAGACCGCAGCGCCGATATTAGTCGTTGAATATTGGCGGGATTCGGAAAAGTTTGGGGTTATAAACTTATAGTTGTTTTGAATGTTTTGATGTTTTATGACCATAGTGCCGAAGTCGAGTTGGTCCTGCAATCATCGTCGTGACGTCGTCCAAGGTTCAACATTCCAACACTCGTAGACCAAAAAACAAACTTGTAGTTGTAGTACATATTTTATACGCTAGCCCGTGATCTTAACTTGTTGATATTCAACTTTAGTCTTTAATAGTTCTGAAGCTCTCCGATATCTCTTCCGTGCGAACCAATTCATCTTTAAAAAAATATTGACGTTTTCGAAATGGCCAAACCGCAAACTAAAGGTGATTATAAGATAGATTATTTGGTTCATTTTTCAAAAAACTTGCTAACGTTTATTTCACAATGTGATTTATCTAGGTCTAGGTATGGGCGAGATAATCATCGAGGGAAAAACTAAAATTGTTTACGACCTACCTGACACAGGCAATGTCTTGATGGTGAGCAAAGACAGGATAACTGCTTGGAATGGCGCCAAGGGTGATGATATGGAAGGCAAAGCAGCCATATCTACAACAACAACGACAGCTGTATTTAAAGTTTTACAAGATTTAGGTAGGTACTATATTATATTTACTCTCAGGTTCTTAACATATATTCAATTTTTTAATAACTAAATATGTACCTATATTGCATATACCTATTCATTAATCTTTCTGTTATAGGGATAAATACTGCGTTTGTTTCAAAAAACGGTTTATCTGATAATACATTCATCAGCAAAAAATGTTCTATGATTCCAATTGAATGGGTATCTCGTCGAATTGCTACAGGATCTTTTCTAAAACGTAATCCAGGAGTAAAAGAAGGTTATAAATTTACTCCACCCTTGGTGGAAACTTTTTTCAAGGTATGCATTAGTAAATAATTAACTATACTTAATAGCACTAGTAGTTTCAAGTTTAAAATCTTAAAACCTTAACATATCAATGAATGTACTTGTATATTTATTTAAATTTAAAAATTGTTAGATTAATTTAGTCATTTAAATATATTTTATATTTAAGATTTAATTTATAATATTTAATTAAATTTCCTTGCAAAATTAATTTGTTTTTGTGTTTGTTTGAATAGGATGATTTAAATGATGATCCTCAATGGTCTGAACAACAGTTGCTATCTGTAGAATTTAACATTGGAAATGTAAAAATTGGAAATGCTGAGTATGAGATAATGAGGAAAACTACTATATGTGTATTTGAAGTGTTGGAAAAGTTATGGGCATCAAAGAATGTTGCTCTAGTAGATATGAAAATCGAATTCGGTGTTAGTACTGAAGGTATATTATTATTGTCAAGAGTTGAATAAATTAAAAACACCTATTTAATTTATTTTATTACAGGAGAAATATTAGTAGCTGATGTTATTGACAATGATTCATGGAGATTGTGGCCAAGTGGAGACAAAAGATTAATGGTTGACAAACAAGTATACAGAAATTTAAACACTGTCACAGTTGCCGATATGGAAACGATAAAAACAAATTTTAAGTGGGTTGCTCAACAAGTTCAAAGTTTTTCTCAAATACAATCAAATGGTTTGGTAAGAGTTTATTTTTAGCCTAGAAACATATTGATACTATGCAAGCACATTAATTTTAATTGTTAATAAAGGTTGTGGTTGTTATGGGTTCATCTAGCGATGAAAGTTTTGGTAAAAAGATTGCAGATTATACAAAAAATGTATTGGGTATAAATACTGAAATTAGAATTGGGTCAGCACATAAAAGTACTGAGTTTGTTTTAAAAATGATTGATAAATATGAAGGTAGTATTAAGTAAATTATTTAGTAAATATATATTACTAATCTTTTAAATATTTTAGGTCTACATATTCCTGTTGTCATAATTGCTGTAGCTGGTCGTAGTAATGGCTTAGGTCCAGTAATAGCTGGTTATACTAATTTACCAGTTATAAACTGCCCGCCTTTAAATGCAACCAATGTTAATATGGACATTTGGTCTTCATTAAATGTTCCATCCGGTAATAAAAAATATTTTAATATTATATACTTGCACCATGTATGTATAAAATAATATTTTTTTTTAACAATTATTCTTTAATAGGTTTAGGGTGTGTAACTGTAAGAGAAGAAGAAGGAGCTGCTTTGGCTGCAGCTCGTATTATTGGATTGACTGATCCTCTAGTTTGGTGTAAACTTAAGACACAACAGTTGGAAAAATATATCAATTTAATAAAAAACGATCAAGAAATTGTTTCAAAAAATGTATAAGCCTAATACTTAAATATTTATGAACATTACTATATTTTATCAATGTTATTTTTGTTGAATTATTACTTCACAATTTAAAACTAATAAAAACTTTAATTTAATAAAATTAAGAATTATTTATATAATTTGTTATTTGCTAGTTAACTGATAATACTTTATTATCAGTTGTATTACATATTCACATACTTTTGTTTTCCTTAGTAAGATTATACATATATTCTTGATAATTTATTTAAAATTAATTAGTTAATTTTATCTTGTAACTTTATAAATATGTTTCTTGGAACTAAATTTTAGTTATCATCTATATTATTATCTACTTCATGAACCTTATTTTAATTGTTCTTACGCTAAGAAATATAGATAATTTATAATTAACACACAACATTTTTGATTAAAAAGCTTACTACATTATCAAATAATTTTAATTTAAAAATAATCAATATTTAGTATCTAATGGTTGAGCAAGTGATTTAAATTAATTATTTAAATGATCATCATTTTTTGTTTTTATATTAATGATTTTTAGATTTACAATTAAATCTGATAGAAAACTTTTTGTAGTACAATTAAATTCAATAATGTTGATTGCAAAAGTTTACTCTTGCAAGAATTTTTGTTCTTTCTTGAAAATAAAATAAATTTAATATTATAATAAATGAAAATACAACACTTGAATCAATTAAGACATTGAAATAAACATCTTGTATTTGAATATTTTATTGTTAAACTATATGATAATGTAACTTTCATTTTCTTTCATTTATCTGGATCAATATTTCAAAAAATAAAGTTAAACAGTACCGCTCAACTACACAGGTATCAAGTAGGTTACTGACATTTAGACGTGGTAAATTCAAATTCAATGATATATATCATTTTGTATAAAATAAACGTAAGTATAAACAATCTATCGACCTACATTATTAAGTATATTAAATATTTCATAATATGTTTTTTTATTTTTTTATTAAGTAAAATAATTGATCTTAGGTAGGTAGAAGTATTAGGTTAGTAGATATAAAATTATGGTACAGTAGATTGAATTAATTGTATATTATAATTATAATTTTAACACATTTGTAATTCATCTAACTAAATTGTTTTTTCCATGATTTTGTATTTGAAAAACTGTTAATGATTTTCTCTATTTCTATCTTGGAAGTTCATCATTTTTCTATGTTCAATATAGAAATAACACTGAGATATTCTTAATTTATAGAATTGCACAAAAAATGTTTAATTAATTCAAGTTTAGAGTAACTTCTATCTGCACATACCATTGTAACAAAAATTATTAAAAATATAAGGTAAGCACCTATAACATCAATAAAACTTGATGATAAATCCACATCAATTATATAAAAATTAAAATTCTGTATGGTCATATACAATAGTTTTATCACTAGTATAATGTAGCTTTAAATATTATAATTGTCTTGTAAAATTAGATTGAACATCATCTACATACAAATTTATAAAATCGTCATTAATATTTTAGAGTAGGTACTAGGTAGTATACCTAATCTTTATTTTGTTTATTAATGGTTAATAGTGTTATTTAAAATTTTAAACTACTAACTAGTTTTATAGTGGATTTTTCTTCAAATCGACTTTACAATTTTATTGAAAAAGTATAGTATCAAAGATAAATAAAAATACTTTTATTTTAAAATTTTGTTCAAAGTTAAAAGTTTATATAAAAATCATCAAACCTTTTATTTGCAAATATTTTACGTACTAAATGGAATGATACTGTTATGCGTGGTAAAAAGGTTTTTTTCTTTTTGAGGGCCTCTCAAATGGCCTATAGCCTCTGACTTTTTTTCAGAAGGTAATCGGTGGCTCCTGACTTAGGTGTATAAAGATCTGTAACATATCAATTCAATTGTAAATACCTGCCTATATATAATCTGTAATAATAATTATTCCTGAATTTTAAAATGAACAAGTCTGTACGGTTGTACATCATTTTATTGTTAAAACGGTTTAAATGTAGATACAATAAAATATAAAACTAAAAGCAATAAATATATTAAGTTAGGTACTATAAAATATGAATAACGATAATTTTTATCAGCTAATAAACAATATGAATACACGATAATCATAATATACTAATCACTATTTCTATGCTGGTTAGGTACTGGTTTCTCTACTTGGTCGTTCTATAAATTAATAAATACATGTGCTCGAGTGAATTGTCTACCGTTATTACTTCGGTTAGTCAGCAGCTAGAATAATCTGAAATATCAATGTTGAAGACACAGAATCTGTTGACTCTAGCTCTACATGGGTCACGGGTGTATATATTTTACACCATATTGCTATACAAATTGTACACTATTTTATTAAAATATATTTATTTATTTTGATATTTATGAAATTTGATTAGGTAAGGTCAAGTATTGAATGATTCGCCTTCTGGTTGATCAATCGTTCAAAACTGGATAAGTTGGTTATAGGTATAGGCACTAGGCAGTACGCACTAAGTATACCCGTTAAACCTGCATGCAGCAGTGGTGGCGTAACGACCGATAACGAGTGGTGCACTGGTGCAGATGCCCCTCGAGAATTATAGCTATAAAAAAATCACGTATCTATGGTCAACTATAACACTAATTTTCTAATAATTAGAATAATTTTTCACCTCATATGGTAACTGCTTACACTAAGACCACAGATTCTGTATAATAATGTAGTATTGTGCAGCCATTGTAGTAAAACGTGACACTATATCATATTGTTTGAAATAGTTATTGGTGAAAAACTTCAGGAAGTACGGTTTTTAATATAATTATCTAAATTAAAATGAAATACTATATGTTTTATAGTATGTACAAAAAAAATTTTAAAAATTCTTTTTGGTGGATATTATTATAGGTACTTATTTTGAAAATAAAAAGAATTTAATTAATATTCTCAAAACGAAGAAATTTAATTTTAACATACCATCTATTTAACATCAAATTATCTTGAGAGGACGATACACAGGAATTTGTTTTCTCCATCTGCAGACAATTACGTAAAGATGTACGCTCAGAAGATCAGGTTTAGGTTCGTATAGTTATAGGTAATTTATAAATTAAAGTGAATCGACCTATAATGAAACTTGATGGTATAAGAACATTTTCTGTGTTATTGTACGTGGGTTTTTTACAAAAATTAACTTTTTTAAGTGAGTTATGAACATTTTTAATTTATACTATATTTTACAAACACAAAATTTGCTAAAAATTTGAAATATCGTAAAAAACCCACATACAAACACTGCAGATAATCTTCTGGAAGTTTACCAATTGCGCTCTAAACATTTTAAGGTTGATAGACCAATAATTGCGCTCAAAACATTTTAAAATACTTAATTAAAACTTATTAATTAGTTATAATCATATAATAAATTAATACACACATCGATTGTTTTGCGAGTATAAATAATATATGATATAATGAAAATAAATAGTAAGTAATGGCTATCATCAACGTGTTATCTTATATATTATAGTACATTACCTATATATATATTATGCAACGAAACAATATTAAACTAATAAATATCCAACGATAATGTAAACTTATTTTCGTCTATCACTCAAATTCATACTTATATGATTAAATACGCATAATAATTAAGGCTAGGATAATATAGGATTTTATATATTTTTTTTAAGATTTACAGAATATAGCTTTTCAAGCACAAAATGTGATTTAGTCATCTACGAGTTCAAACATATAGTTTTTATTTTGCATTTTTTGTACTTTTTTTAATTTGAGGTCATTTTTATACTTTATTGAAACCTGGGTAATATTTTTATAATTTTTTAAATAGATTTTTTAAATGGTCGCTATAAATTATTGTATAAACATCAGGGGCGTCATTTTAGGTTATTTTTTAGGTGTGCGAGGTTTCAAGTAAGCCATTTTGAAATTTCACCAGGCCATATAAAAATAGAGATATATATATATACGTATATGTACACATTATCCTACTTTTAATTATTATTTCCATACATCTCATGGACCGAATCAATGAATCAGTATATCATTATTGATAAATGTCAATATGAAAATTAAAATACAATTTAAGAAGATTTAATTTTGAACATTATCTCAGCAGGGCGTAGGCCAATAAGTATATTATTTTAAAAGTAAAGGGTGAAGCCGCACACCCTGATCCCCCCCTAAATGACGACCTTGATAAACATATAAAGATACAACATTATAAAATAAAATCGTAAATATATTTTCTAAAAATATTTAATATTTCAAAATACCAATCGTTTGTCTAATATAAAATATACTCATTGCCCAGTCGTTGGATTAACCGAGTTAGTACCGATAATAATGCTTGATGCTTGATTACGTGTTATCTTTATCAATTTGATATTAAATTTAAATTTTAGTTTCACAATATTATTTTATTTCAAAATATATTAATTTCAGAACAAATGAAGCTGGCCATTATATCAAAAGATGAATTTATTTGTATACTTAAAAATATAAATTATTATTTAGTAATTAATTAATATAATTATTTTTTTTCGAGCATTTTATATGAGGTAATTTTTTCTTATTAAGTCATAGTTTTTTTTATTAATTTTTAGGTTTTTCAAGTCATTACAATCCTAGTCCTAGTAATAATAATAATAATGTTTCATAAAATTCCCGATACGTTATAAAGTATATTATAAGTTATAACCGTAACTTAAACCAGTAATCAATTGATCCATAAATTAATTTTTAATTTTTAAGCATTTTTGTGTGTAGATTGTTGATGTCGATGTTGATGAAATTAGATTGAACAACAATATTTTCATATTTGAAGATAGGAAAATTTAAATACAAGCGCAAATGGTACACTGATCCTAAAATATAATATAAAGAGTGCAATTAGTACACTGGCTCTAAACAAAAACCTTGTTTTAGGTGCAATATATTGGTCCATGCTCAATCTTCTTACTATCAAGCTTCATTATAGGTCAATTCTGCACTCAAGTTTTTAAACTAACGAAACTAAACTTATCTGCTGAACGTAAATTTGCTATGTTATACACTTGTAAGAGTGAGACAGAGAAAACAAATGTCTTTTTGCTTTTATACTCTTTTAACTATAGATATGCAATAATTTATAAAAATTATCAAAATATTCTTTTATCTATAATACATACACTTTTTTTAATGTTTTGACTTTTTTGTTTTATTACTAATTATATATTATGGTTCTGGCGAGGATGTTGAGTTAACTGTTTATATGTCTCGATGAATTTTGATAGGTTCCTGCATGTTAATTCTTGTGAAACCGCGGGTGGGCTGCACTACCTATACTATTCAGTGATTCGTTCAATACTACCGCCGTACGTACAGACGTCTAACATTGTCTCATCTATCATGTCGATTACGTAGCGCCAGGCACTGCCCAAGATCGTTGACTGTTGGTTGTTATGTTTGAGGCTACGCAAAGCATCGTCTATGATTGGTTATAACTTATAAGTTATAATAACGCTTAGAGTTTTAAGAGATCGCAAGGCGATAATCAATGACGATTGTTGTATGCGACGGTCGTCGATATACGTGATACAACGTCCAGCGCTGTTTGTGGTTGATCTTCATGCGTCACCTAATGTTGTCATTTGTTATTGGTCAGTTCGTACGTGATGGTGACACCTATCATGTTGTTGCAATATTGCCGTTATATGGATCCACGCACCATCATGTCTTACGAATTAGCTACGATGTCTCACTGTATTCGAAAAGCTAATGTATTATGCAGCGAATATTGACTCAACAATAAATGATAATATTTAGGTAAATAGTTACGAATTTTACGCTTAAAAATAATTTCCGAGTGACAAGAATATAATATATATATATAAATAATATAATAAATATCTATACATAAAGTACAATATTGGCTATTACGTGCGGAGTGAACAATTTAACATAACTCATGATTTCAGAAAACATTAAAATTTTAAAAATATTTCTCCCATACAGTATGTACAATTGTACATAATTAAGTATCGTAACAAGATATTTTTGAAAAAGTTATATTTTATATTCTATTTTTTACAATCATTTTATTTTTTATAGCTTTTGAATTACTTAAAACAAACTTCATTTTTTTTTTTTTTTTTAGTGAAAGTACTAAGTATACACGATAAGTAATCGATAAAATGATCGCAGCAAAGCTTTACCCTTACATCCACGTGGTGCTGCAGACTGCAGGTAACAGAATTCTGGTTTCGGCTAATGAGAGAGACACTGCAGAAGGAAAACTGTAGGTATAAAACCAACACTGACGATCAAAATTATCGACCAGAGGACCAACATATCGTCCTTCACAACTTCCAACAACAGCAAACCGAAAACTAGGCCCAGGACCTTGGAACGCAGAGCTCAAGCACAACCAAACCTACACTTTAGTAGGTACTCCCATCCGAAATTGCCACTCAGCGACCGGCTTACTCCGGAGAATTAATAGGATGCCCTGCATGGCTGCACAGCGTACGGCTGATTATCATTCGGGCGATCTCGATTGGACAAGATAACGGCGCACAAAATGGGACGCTGTACAGCCCCGCTAACAAAATGCCTAGAACTGAACAACACCAACATAGCCAATATAAACTACTTATGAAAAATTTTTTAATAAATTTTCAAAACTCAGATATATTACCAAGAAATTTTTTATGAATTTCTAACAATTTAACAACAAAATAGTTTAAAAGTTTTTGCAATTTTAAATTGTGCCTAAATGTTTTTAATATTTTTATACAGATTTAACCTAACCTAATGAATAATTTTTTTATTGGTATTTATCTCATGCTTATAATTTATAAATAGCTCAAAAAGAGACAAAATATTTTGAAAACTATACCATGAATTTAAAATGATAATATATATATCAACCGCAACAAAAAAGACGCCGGTTCCTGTCGACCTTCCGGAGAGATTTCCGGAGAGTCTTCAGGACCATGTGTTGTGATTGTGCGTCGCCGCGCTACCAAGATAGGGATTAAAAGCACCCTAAGGGGAAAGAGACCGAAAGCGCACATTCGTGAATGACGGTATGTTTATTTATATCACGTTTTCCGTAGTCGCGTCTTTCAGGCGGACGTGTTGTGGCGAACATAGGTTGCGATGCCGGACGACATTTTTATCGAGACCGTCCGACTGGCTGGTTGGCTTTGGTCGTTGGCGCGACGGATGCGAGGAGGCGACAATGACAACAGTAGCGCAGATTCGGGTAGGTAAGCGATGGAGGAACGGATGTCCGTGAAACCGTGAAGCACAGTTGACGCCTCGTCCGGTTGTAAGCACGTCTTGCAACCAGTCACAGCGTTTTTGGACGCATTAGCGGCCGGCAGTTCGAATTCGACCGGCGGGGCATCCGGGCGAAAATGACGTACCTACATAGGACTCGAACCAGTGCAGTATTTAACTGAGTTTTCGCTCCGGAATCCCGTCAACCGAGCGCTAGCGACCGGCCGCCTCACGTTGCAACCGTTGCACTTTACTGCAAGTGCACTACCACTAGTAGCACTCGCCAGAATCTCCGTCATTGTCCGCCGCCGTCATCCAAGTGCATGTCATCGCACGGGCCGCTCTTGTAGTCCACCACAGTCGCGCCGACACCACCAATCGGTCACGGTCTTAGCGCGCCCGCAACCATACATGTCCGACACTCCGCTCGACCGCCTTGGGCCAATTGCGGTAACATGAATATAGATAAACGGTGACCAGTTCTATTCTCATGAACGCCATCGGTTCTCTTTCCCCCTTTTTTTGTGTCCATCTATCCTGTCATAGTTCTTAAATGTTTTTGTTATTGTTTTGGGGTAATTTTTACCTTATGACAAATACTCATGTTATATATGATATTATATAAATAAAATGTTTTGTGTACACAAAAAAAAAAATAATTATTTTCCATGTGATCATTTGTTATGTATATTACATGTATGTGGCGTATTTATGGGGGGGGGGGGATATGGGCCATGGGGGATAGATCCGCCTTGACCTTTTTTTGCAGATGTTTAATATTGTTTTTTGAAATAAGATATTAGTATCTAATTTCCGCAATAGAAATACAGAATAAAATTGTATAAATTATACTATTTAAATTTAATACTGATATATTAACCATTTTAAATTATTATGGTCGACGCCCGTAGTCCATACACTGCTTAATGCTAAATATGATTGAAAAAATTAAAACGTTTCGTATCGTAAAATAACGTACTTGAACTACTATATTGTTTTATTGAATATATCTAATATGATATATTAAAAGCATCTTACAATAATTTGTATATACCTACATTTATTTTAAATTTCTGTATATAATGTTGTTGCGCCGTTACCGATTTTACAATGATCGATGGTTATCGGCATCGACTCGCGCGCGAGTTGTGTACTGTTGACAGGAGCGGAGTTGGTTACCCAAATATATAATAAATAATATATCACGTTAAGTAAATTCTAGGCGTATGCAACACCAATAAAATATATATAGGTATGTACAATAAACCAAATAAGCTAAATATTAATAATTGTAATTATAATGGACCTATAGTAAAGGGCACCCCGGGAATAATTATCAATATATAAATAATAATAATACGTAATACAGTATAAAAAAAACAAAAATGGTAGACAAATAACAAAGACGACCTGGTTTGTTGCAAATTTATCCGACGATGACACGTAGTCCCCTCGCAATTGAAAGCGGTGACACGATGTTCCAGCAAAACGGCAATCGGGATCGTACACGAGGAGGCAAAGCACAAAATTAGTTGCAGACTTGCCAATAAGTTAATGACTGCGGTGACGAATCTACGGTGCGATCATATATCCACTGCGGTAACGCACACCAGTAACGACAAAAACCGTTGGATATAAAAATCAACTGACCCCCATGAGACTTGATGCGGCGACACAAAGCGGCACGCAGTAATGGTGAACAGACAGAGATGTGTCCGTCCCAATCGTTGGAAAAAGATCGAAAAGTTGTTGGTCAACGGTCTGGCTGACGGCATAGCTATCGCCAGACGAACTGTCGCCGGACACTGGGGGGGGGGGGGCTTGCGAGCGCTTTTATCTCCGCCCCACCGTGGTGTCCGAAACAAATATACATGGCAAAATCGTTCCGCGCTTGAACAAATGTGTTATTAATTATTATACTATTTATAATTAAGATTTAAGATTATTGAAAATTGAAAGCTAAATGTCTTTGTCTAATAAACGCTCGTAGCGGGCGTAGCGTAATATATGGAAATTTAGATTATTTAAATATAGACAGCCAGTAGGTATTACATTATATTATTATATTACCTTTATCGTTTTTTCCATCAGTATACCTACGAATGCATGATTAGATGATTCGAACGTTTATAATATAATGTAAGAATTCTGAAAATAGATTGAAGTTGTCATCAAGTTTACTATAGAGATCAACTTACCCATAGTATTGATTTTATTCCACAATTCCTAAAAAAGTATAAATTAAAAAAAAATCATATTATTTATATCTTTTAAGAAAAACCAAAAATGTTATTAAGTTAAATTGACTTTACGAAAATTAATTCAAATTTGTTTTCAGAATTCATGCTGTTTTACTAGATCAATATACTAATTGAAATAGAAAACATTGATTAACATTTTTAAGTGGCGCGTTTTAGTAATAGGTTCATTGCTTTCAATGGGTGCAACACGGTTGTGAACGTTTTACCTTTTTTACAACACGATTGCGAACAAATGTCGCTTATCAAAAATTTATTTTTTTTTAGCCGAAAAACGAACGATTACGAACATTTTTATAGGCTACGTTACCCATTTTATAATTTCTGAATAATGTTTTATTTTGTTCGAGAATTCAATAAAAAAATTTTTTTAAATAAAAACTATTCGATATTAATAATGCAATGTTACATTATAGCTACGTTACAAACTAAAATAAAATTATATTAAATAATATGAAGTATTTTAAATTTTGATAAATAAAAAAATTTCGGAGTATAAATATTAATAATACTGTTACATAATGTATAAACTGAAAAAAATAAAAAATAATAGTTTTTAAAAATGTTTTATTTTATTTTAAAATTTTTTCTTATTGAGAAGTTTCCAGTTTTTTATAAATATAAAATTAGATCCTTGTGGATTTTATAAATTATAATCATTATAATTTTTAATTTTAATGATTTAATTTTAGATTTATCTTTTATGGCCATGGGGTTATGTAAATTGTATTGATAGTGTAATAGCAGAAAACCCTACTATTTAATTATTTTAAAAATGTGTAATTGGCTAACACCAAATCTGGCAACACCGCTCGATTGAAGGCAAGTAAAAACGTTCGCAATTGTGTTACGAGAAAAAGTCCGTTCGCAATCGTATATCACCCGCTTTCAATCTCACATCTCATCGGATCTCAGACCTTAAGAAGGTACTTATTATCACTTACAAGTAATGAGTATAAAAGTAATAAAAATAAATTTGGTGTACCTACTTATCTACAAAGTTCAAATTACAAAGTCATATACTATAGATACCTACTTACAAAACATAATATTTTATTAGGTATTTAACATCAAAGGTAACAAATAATATCATTGATTAAATATAATTAATATTGAGTACTAAATCAATAGTGATATCAGGTAATATTATATTATTTCTTAACAGCGAGTAATTAGAAATTAGAGGAGTAAGTTCTAACATACGTATGTAGGTACGCTAATGCGACCAATATTAAAATATTTAAACAATAATAACAGAACTGAATTTACTGTTTTATTTAAATCATAACTAAATCTCAACGAGCACCTATCAGTATTTTACTGCTGAAAATGTTATCCGGGTTCGGTGGTGAAACATCAATAATACACAAGTAAACTAGTAATGACTAAATGTCTAAATCCTAGTTACGCCTATTACCTACCTATGCGGCTATGCCCTATATACGGTAGGTTGTGCAACAAGTTGCTTTTATATTATACCTTATCCAGTAAGAAGTAAGCCACATTTGCACATGTACTCCGTGAGAATTATATGGAAGGGTAACGCGTGGAAATTTGCAAACTGAACACAATTTGGTGAATAGAGACACAAGGTATTAAGAAATTACAATAATGTTGTGAATTCATAAAATCTTGATTAAATATTTATTATTTACGAAGCGGCATTAACTTTACAGCTATTCTATTATTTTATAAATGTATTCAATAAAGGTAACTAGGCTTTTAGGTTCCTTCTAAGTTAGTATGGCTGGAGTCCTGACATTTTTAATAGCAAAATAAGCTATAGGAATAAGTAGTTGCTTTCACATAGTTGTAACGAAACATGCACATTGTTTGTTAAAACATAAAAGAATATTAAAATTGAAATATAATTTCAGATCTAATTGAAACATATAAAAGTACTTGCGCAAGTGCGCAACAGGTACCTATTTATTTTAAAAATTGTATAATATTATTTAGGTAGGTATACAATTATCCAAAGTGATCGAATGGACTTTAAATTAATCATAAAAGATTTTAGATAAATTAGGCAAATAGTTATTTTGTGTAACAATAAAATTACGGTAAAACTACACAGTGTATAAATAACTGTAGTTCTGATTGAGGAATATTGAAGATTTGAGGCATGTTGGTTCGGACGGTTTCATATTTCAATTATTAAATTTATATGATAAATGATAATTATGGTTTATATTTTTTATTATTTATTGACATAATTGTAGTTAGTACCTATAATTAGTACAACTATTACCTAGTTATTACTAAACATTAGGAATAAAAATGTTATGCCTCAAAAATAATCAAATATTATATAATTGTTATTAAATTTAATAAAATCTACTGTAAAATATTGTATAATCCTGGATTCTTTTGTTGTTTCACTTTTAAGATCATTCTAAAAAAAAAAAAAATGATATATAAACGTAGATTAAAGTAATTTGAATATAATTTTTAGTTTATTTTTACGTACTCTTTGAATTGATTTGAATAATTACATTTTTTTGACATTTCAAATCAAGAACTTCGTTGATGGTAAGATGAAAAATGTTTGTAAAATAAAAAAAATTCACGAGTATTCAACAGAAATAATGGGCGTATATTAAAAAATCATTAATATTTTTAATAAAAAATGATTTTTAACTGTTTTCTTCAAAATATGCAAAATTTTATACTGCACATTTATTCCTAACTCATGTATTAATCTCTAAGTATACAAAATAAAAGTAAATGTATCCAACTACGGTAGTTCGGTCTAAAATAAATGAAAATCATAAACATTCTAATCCTAATCATTAATCATTAAGTACCTATTATTATATTTATATAGCGATATATTTTACTAATATAATAATATACATTTTTTTAACTAATGGTAAATGGATACTCTTTTATTAGCTATTTTTGGCATTTTCGCGTTAATACAATATGCATGTTGTATATTATGATACAATCTATACTTGAATAAATATATATTTGAACAGCATATAAATATTATAAATCGACAAAAACCCAAATAAATAAATTGGCTATTATGATTAAACCATATTTTTCAAAACGTAAAAATAACCCGAAACCAAAAAAAATATTTTTCATAATTTTATGCTTTATAATTAGTAAATTTTTCTGCAATAAAGAACCGCATAAATAAATTTTAAACTAAGCAAATCAAGCATTGGTGTATAGTTTTCAGTATTATAAACTTATTTCCTTTTGCACTAAATATAAGGTATAACATTAATCAATTCTAACGTTACTAACCTTATTTTATTTTTTTTATCATAAAAGGATATATTTTCAATCTGTTTAAATAAATATAGATGTACAATAGAATAAGAAAATATGTATGATGTAAGATTAAAACGTTTCATGATTGAAGGGAATGTTTAGTGACACCAAATAAAAGTTTATCTCATCAAAATTTTCAAGAAATCAATAATTTTAACACATATTTTGATTGATTTGCTAATAGCTAAATTCCCTTTAACTAATTAATAATTACAATTAGCATAGATCTACAAGGATTAAATAAGAAAATTACATTTAGATATCTAATATCTTTAAACCAGTACATATAATATATTGTATATATTATAAATTATATTGTGTTATACATAGAACAGCATTGTAAGCACATTATTCTTAAACCACATACCTATACATATTTAGATACATGATCTAAAATTAAATAGAATAAATTACATACATTTGACAACCAAGAAGTGCTAGGTATTTCATAAATTACTATTAAAACCCCACTACCAATATCCTCAGTGTCAGACCCATGTAATTAACTCTAATATAATTTTATAATATTATCTTAATATTAAAAATATATTAAACTGAGTTAACATAACCTTACATTTACTTAATTTAAACAAGATAAAATTAAAACTAAATTATCAGAAGTAATATTAATTGAATGTAGAATAATGTATAGGTATTTTTATGATATTCCGTAGGTAATTAACGTAGATATTTAAAATTAGAACTCTAACAAAACTATTAATGATATAATTTTATAGTAACATTTTAAAACATATAAGTATTTTTTTAAATAAAAACTTATCATTTTGCTTATCATTCAATCAAATTGTTTAAGTAATTATTTATTAAATGTTAAAATAAAAATGTGCTGTTTCAAGTGACATTTTTTAAATTGTAATTTGAAAATTATTATTACATTTAAAACCAATTATACTACTCATCAGTCATCACAGTCCAACAGAATTATTAAGAATATAATACCTTAAGAAATTCAAATACTAACTTAATATTTGCAATTATAATAATAGATAATAAATATTATCTGTAAAAATATTAATAAATACCAATATGTATTTATTTTTTTAACGTATACAATTATATAAAATCAAAACAATTAGGGATAATGTAAAAAATAATTAAATATAATAATACAATTCATACAAAACTTGAATAAAATATATTCACGGACAAGATTTATTTTGTTCATGTATTTATATAGTTTATGTACCAAAATTTGACAAACTATATGGACTATGATAGAGCAATTTTGCTTTTTTTAGCTCTAAAATAACAGGCATATTTGAATATTTTTTAATTTAATAAACTTTCTTGTTGTGTACTGCAATGATTTCATTAGTTCATATCTTCTTTACTTTATAAAACTAAACAATTTAATAAAATTATAATAAATTAAAATACATTAATATATTAACAAATATACACATACGACAAAATATGAATAAGAAAATACTTAATGGCCAATTCTTGTAAGTTCATAACAAGGCTGATGATGTTCTAACCATAATACAATATTATACACAATAATAAAAAAACTTAAAAAGCCTATTATTTTTAATATAATGAAGCAAAAAAGCTTCATTAATGACAACTATTTCCAAGGAAAGAATTCTGTAAAAATAAATATATTAATTAAAAAGCTTAATCAGAGATTAAAATTATATAATTACCCTATGAACATTACATGTAGTCATGTGATTCTGGCTATCTAGAAGCCAACCAACATGTATAGCACAATTATAATGTGTACTTGATGTGCAGTGACGTGCTGTACATCCAATACTAGCACCATTAATACCACAATAACTACAGATCTATGTAAAAAAATTGTTTTATTACTATCTATATTTTAAATTGTATATAAAAATACTCACAGTATTTTTTGCAACTCTCACACTATCTTCCAACCCAATAATTTTATCCCCAACCATATAAACACCAGATGCCCAAACTAAACAATTTTCATGAGTCCATACCTCAATATATGTTTCTGAAGCATCATTATCATTTAAATTATGTTTAGATTTCTGTAAATTACATTTTAACCATAAATATGTTCAATAATAAAAAAAAGGTTTAAAAATACCTTTCGTTTAAGGTTATCATTTGAATTTACAACCTTTGGTATACTGACATAATAAGGGCCAAAAAGATCTCCACTAGAATCATGGCCAATGTTTTTTACATCAGGTCCTCTCGAACAGAATACACATTTCCAATCACTACTTTCTAAATTGTTCACATCAGGTTTTTCTTCACCATTACAATCGCCAGATTTATATGCTTTTAAAAAATTTAACAATTAATATTAAATCATTTAAAAAAACAACAATCAATAAAATTCTTAAGCTATAACTTACAATAAGTCTTTCGATTAATATTTCGACCATCTAATGAATCTTCATCGTCTTGAACACTTCGATTAATTATAACAAAACTTGTTGGATTTTCTATATTACCCCCATTGATTCTTATCAAAGGACCTTTATATTTTTTAATAGGTGGTTCAACCACTGGTTTCAATTTTTCAGCAACGGGTAGAATTTTTTTAACTTTTTTTAATTGTCTTTTATTTTTATTATAGGGCCTTTTTGTAGAAATTATTGGTTTTGATTTATTTTCAGTCGTTGTTTGTTGATTAGATGTATTAGTTGGTGTAATGACTCCACCAAATAATTCTTCTAATTTGTTTTCTACTTCAAGGAATTGAGAATGTGTATCATGAATTTTTTTTGAAGAATTTTCTGATGGTGCAGAATCCTCAGATTTATCATGCTCTATTCTAGGTATAGGAGAAGGTGATTTAAGTATTTTTTCTACAGATTCTGCCCTCATCATTGATGGCGATGGTGATTTTATTGGTTTCACGATTTTAATAACGGATTGTTTTTCAGACTCATTTGTTTGAAACATGTTTTCCAACATTTTTTCAACATTATTTGTATCTTCAATTTCAATTTTAATAGGCTTATCAACTACATCACGCGCAATCTTATTATCTTGTTTACTACATTTGTTTTCATAACCTTCAGTATTTACAGTTTTTACATTTTGAATACTTATACTATCTGGGATATCACATCTGACTTCAGACTTAATAACTTTATGAGGGTTTTGAGCTATAACACTAATAGCCTTCTCTTCAGTGGTTTCTATTTTAATTGAATTTATTTGACCATTTACTTGATCTTTTGCTCGTTTATAAGAAAAGCTTTCATATTTTTTATTATTTGAAGACAAGTCAATAGACATTTGCTCAGATTCTTTTTCTTTTTTATGATTATTAAGATCAAAATCAACAGCTCGAGATAATGAGAAACTAGGCGATACATTAGAGGAATGAGCTGGACTAGGAGATGGTGGACCAGGTCTAGATGGTGGTGGCATATTATTTCTTGAATCCATCCACCTATCAATTACAGGAGTATGTTGGGGTTTGTGCATCTGTAATGCAACATTGTGTAAAGAAGCATATGGTGTATTTCTGTAAGCAGCCATATCTATAATTCGATAACAATAAAACTTAACACTTGTCAATGAAAAATTCAATTAATTATTTACCTTGTTTAGTAAACCACGAAGATAGCTGATGAGAAATTGCAGGAGGGTGGAATGTAAGTGGATGAGGAACAGAAGGTGTTGCAGCAGTTGCCAAATGATGTCTTTGCGGAGCTGGGGCCGCTGGAGGTAAATGATGATAAGATGGAAATCTTCCCTCAGACATTTTTATTCTACAATATTAATAAAAGTAATAGAATATTTTTTTTTATTGTGATATGGCTAGCTAGATAGATTACAATTTAAAATTATTTATTTTCAATATTATTTTGAGTAATCATAAATTAATGTTATCACCTAGGGAATGTAAACATATTAATTATAAGGTTATTTTATTTGATAGCCAAGACATTTTAAAATTTTGATTTAATAATAAGCAATTAAAATTAGTATTATTAGCTACACTAACCAAATGTTAAATAATAAAAAAATAAATATATACACACTTTTGGCAAAGTAGAAAGGTATCAGATGATATTATTCGATTGTTGTAATTGTTATACAATACATCTTTACGCGTACGTGTTAATTTGTACAATTTTAATCAAAAATTGTACATGACATAAACTTTTTAAAACAATTAAAACTAATTTGAAAAATAAAATAATTATTAAAATTAAAAAATGTCACAATTACCATTGAAAAAATTCATAAAAAAAACTTGTCAGTTGTCACTACTAGAGCCATTTTTGTTGTTGTGGTTCATGGTTTTTCTGATCTCTATTTTCTCTCTCGTGCATACAAACTTACATTGTCGGCACTACAACCTCTTTGGAACCAATTAAACCGTCATGGACGTTGGATAATAAATATAATAAATTAATTCTGGCGTCCTCTAGTTGGCTATTAATCACTTTTATTACACGCATTACCTAAAATTCAATAAATAAAATTTATATATTCATATTTCATATATTAATATATTATTTTAAATGCTTAATAATTCAAAGATAAAAGTAGATAGGATATGTATTTATTAAATTATTATATTTTTATGAAAAAATTTCTATCTACCTATTAGTTTTTGTTTTAATTTAAGTGGAGCAGTGAATGTATCTACCTATTAATTTAACTATGTGTGTTTTTTATTTTTATTTTTTTGTGTCTGTTACATCTCATTGCTTTTTAGGAACAGCTGATAAACAGTTAAAATACTTTGATTTTCAATTTTTTCTAATAGCAAACATCATCTAATAAGCATCAATAGTAAAAAATGCCATGTATCCATAGGTAGGTACTTTACAAAATAATCAAGAAAGAAAAATTAATGAAAAACGGTATTTATTGTTTGCAAAAAACCAGTTATTAACAAAATTTATTTTGTTTTTAGATACTTTCCTGTTATATGAGACTACCTTATTTTATGAAACGTCTTAATCGTAAATTATTCATGAGTACCCACCTACTACCTACCATATTTTGTCTCTTTCCTATTACCTAGGTGTATACCTATCACAGACTCTTTTTTGTAAATTATTTGATTTCTTATATAGTATTATAGAGTATTATTTGCATAATATGTACTATGTAGAACTCTAATTTAAATATTAAAAAGTTATTTTTTTGTAAAATAATAAATGGAATTTATACAAATGCTAAATGTTTTCTTGTAAACGAGATACATTGATAATTATATTTATTAGCAGAAATTGGATTTTGATAGTTTTTAAAATTTCGGTAAATTTGGGTATATTTTTTTACGATCTAATGCCACATGAATTCTGCTAAATATGATTTTAATGACAAAAACGATTACATAGGTACTGTCCTTCAAATGTTTTTTGTTTTGCTATTTTGTTAAACCTCTGCAATGACGTTCTATTAATATGTTTTAATTGCGTGCTTATATAAATAGGATCTATAAAGCTTTTTCTGTAGTTTACACCTGCAGCTATATAGTAATTAGTTTTGCACCATGATCATTCTTAAAATTTCTTTGGATAATTAAAATATTGGCTCCACATTCTCGAAGCAGCTTTAAGCTGGTTTTTCTTTAGTCTTAGGTAGAGACCGTATACTAATAATATTAAATTTAATAAATAAAAATGTACCTATTATAAATTAAAATGATTTTAATCTTTAAAGTGTAATTACTATACGTCTATACAAAAATTAGAGTGAGATATAGTATACATTTATTTAATACCTACAGTTTACTTACTTGGTAGTTTACTTATCAAAATTGTATTATCTGAAATAGAATATGTATTTCTCTAAAAAATAGATTATTCATATTCGTATTACAATTGTCGAAAATTTAAATCCAAAAACTTCTGATTTTCAAAAAATTTAACATAATGATCCAGCTTTACCATAACCAATTAATCTTTTAGAAAGATAAAAAAATAAATAATGGGACCCTTGTTGTCAAATAAGGATCTTTGTATCCAGAAATTAAAATTGGAAATCAATTTCTGCACGGTTTTCAAAAACCATGGTTTAAAATAAAATTGCAATTTGCAACTGACATGTTATTTTTGAACACATTCAAAAAAATATTGATAAAAAATTGAAGACTTTTAAATATTTTTTTAAAACAAGGTGAAATTGTAGGGCGAAAGTCATAACAGCTATAATCGAGAAATTTTTTACCGATAATTAAAACAATTATGGAAGTAAATAAATCAACTATAAGATATCAGAATTAAAAGAAAAGGAAGATTATTATTTTCCATTGTTTAGATTTAAATGTTATCATTAGTCTTTCATTTATGCATCTTATACAACAGTTGATTTTTAAAGTTAGAAATACGTTTCAAAATTCTGGAATAAATATTTTGATGGCTTAATGGAAGAAATTAAATCTTTTCGTTCAGCAATAAAAAAAAAATTCGATTAAATACTTGTTTTTTTGAGGAAAATTATAATAAAGCTATTTATAAATATATAAAGTACATGAAATATATCATTAGTAGACCTAAGAAAGTACCTGTGAATACGGGTGAAAATGCAGAAAAAAATCAGAATATGTTTAAAACTAAAAAAAGACAAATTTTGAGTTAATATATATATTGTATCCTGTACTTGACTCTTTAATTCGTGGAGTAAGTGAACGCTTCAATCAAGAAACTAACTCTATTTTAACTGAGATTAGGAAAATGTTAAAATTTGATTAAAAGAAGATGACATTAATGAATTAAAAAATCACTTCAATCTTCCTAAAGCTAAATTTGAAAGTAAAATAAGACTTTTAAAGGCCAATAAAAAAAATTTAGGTGACAAACTTTCTAACAAAGATTGTTTATTTTGGTTGGATTGGTTAAGTTAAAGTGGTATTAAGACAATATTCATACAGTATACAGGAAAGAATTAACAGAATTTTCCGTAATACCAGTTACATAACCGTTTCATGTGAAAAAGTATGTTAAAAACTTACACATATTAAAAATAAATTGTGCATCACTATATGAGTAAATGACACAAGAACGTCAGGGAAATTTAATGCTTTTCTATGTATTGAGCATACAGGCAAAACTAAACATTTGTTCAGGAGTAGGCCAAAATATTTTAAAATTGCCTCCGTCCTTGAATAAAAATATTGATTATTTAAATTGGAACATGTAAATGTTATAAAAGAATTTACCTATAAGCTATAGGTATTGATACAATTATTTATGTTCTAAGCTTTGTTTCTTTATTATTATTTAATATAATTAGATATTAGTAAATTTTTTATATGATAACTATAACACCTCAATAATATATTAAAGAAAATCAACCGATAATTAATAAATACTATACTCCCCGTTTGTAGTACAATTAGTACGAATACCGTGTTACCGCAACGAAAATACACACGCACTATAGACGTCATTAACCTCGGCGTGTATTTAAAAAAAAACAAATAATTATAAAAATTCCTTCACAATCGAAAATAGTACATCATATTGAAATAAATATAAACAATTAAATTAAATAGAAATAAAAATATCCAAAAAATAATTTTCATTTGTTGATTTTAATAAAATATTTTATAAACATATCCTTATTTTTTATAATTTATTAATAATAACATCAAACGAAAGAAGCTGATATTATGTGTCCCATATTATTATTGTGAACAATGATAAAAATATATAGTTATCTCTTCCATTATTTCGGGAAAATAAATACAAAAACGGTTCCTATTTTAGTTTTTTTTTTTAAATACAATATTATTATGTACCTACCCCAACTGTATCATTTTTTCCGGTGCAAACGAATTGCATCCAAAGATCCCTTTTTCATACAAATTGTGTCCCGATAATATTTAACGACTATACTAATTACACCCGAAGTAAATACATTATTTTCTTTCCCATTTAATACAGACTTAAGATTCAATTACAACATTGAATAAATATTATGAATATCATATTGCTAAGTTAGATTAAAAATATTATTTTTTATCGTATCGTAATTATGTACCTCAAAAATTTAATTTTTATCGTTAAGTATAAAAATAAAAGAATAAAAAGAAAATAGTAAAAAATATTAGTAATAATGTGCAAGTTATATATTATATGTTATTATATTGTATTTATGGCTCGAAAAAAATTTGAACGATACAGTTTTGACAAAATCAAAATGGACAAAACGTGTTATTTCGTTCACGTCGTATTAAATAATTTTTTTTCTTAACAATTATTGTTTTTAACATGTTTCATATCTTATTTTCTTTATTAGACTATAATTGCGAATTTTTATGCAAGTATATTTTTATACGTTTTGAAGTATATCAATAAAATTGTTGATATTTGAATGAGCAGAATAAAACATACTGTTAAATTTTGAATGGAAAGCTTTACAACTATTTGTTGCATGTGTAATTGAACCAAGTAGTTTTTAAATATTATTAGGATGTAATAAGTATAATAGTATAGAAAACTCAGGACGCAATAAGTATGTCACAAATCGCAATTTTTATATCAGGGACGCAATTCGTATGCAGCCATTTTTTCTATGCCGATAAGAATTAGGTCAGGTTGTGGCATGACTGGTCTGACCTGTATTTTTGCCTATGATATTGAGAAACCATTGCAAAAAATATCAACATCAATGATAATATGTAATTAAAGAATTTTTAAAAAATGGTTCATTTTATGATCATCATCTAACTTTATAATATTTTCTTGATATATACTCGTATAATATTAAGTACCTCCGACACTGCGAATGTAGGTAACTATTATAAAAGTTGAGTATGAGTTTAGGCATAGGTTTATGTATTAGTTATAAAATAAATATTATCGTAACAGTTATATAACTAGTTATAAGTGACAATAACCTACCTACATCTTACTTACGTACCTCATATTAATCATATTACTCATTTATAATGTTTTCTCATCAAAAAAATATTATAAACTATAAGTTATAATTAATATTAGAATTTAATATTTATTACAAATATCTACTAGTAAGTAGTAAGTATAATCAACGGTCAATGAACAATAATATACGTGTGATATTATAAATATTAGATTGTATCTAATATAGATATTGTATCTTTAATGTGATATAATTATGCTGCGATTGTTTTTAATTTAAAATATTCATATAGATACATTACATATATATTATATTTGTAAATGTAATTTTTAAGATGTCATACATCAGTGTTCAATAAATTAATAATATTATATTATTACGTAGTTATGAGTAAAATACACAAAATGTAATAATAATAGATTATAAGTATAGGTACCTATTTAAAAAAAAAATTCATAAATTTAATATTATCTGCAATACGGTAATTTATTACATATTGATTATATACCTCCTACGATATATAGGTCAAATATTAATAAATTATAGTAAGTTTCTATACCTCCTATACGAGAGTAACTGGTAAACAATCATATGTATATACGTTAATTCAAACAAAAGAGATGAGTAAATTCCTACAAAGTAAATAAATTAAGCATGTTAGTTCCTGCACGGCTGAAAAATAATTGTTTACTAAATAATCATAAAATTCTGTTGCTGAATTTTAAAACGAAATATTCATACCTAAGTAGGTATAAAAACTTTTTACGTTGTTAAAAATATGGTATATTTTTCAATTGTTTTTTAGAAATTTCTATAAATTTAAAAACATTTAATTACATACAATTAATATATATATATATAAACTATATAATAATTTAATATTTATATAAATACACCTAAATACCTAACACATTTGTTCATTGATAAGAATAAATAAAAAATAACATTTAACATTTTAAACAATTATATTATAATAGTTTGTATTATTACAATGTCCTTACACCTGTGTAGGAACTAACATATATACTTATATTTCTTATTTGTAAGGTATCAAGTAAGTAAAGGAACTTACATTCACACATTCGCCGATAATAATATATCTTCGATCATCGATCATATGGTATAGATTCAGTCTTAATGCGTAAGTATTCAGGTACTATAAACAATTAACAGAAATAGTAGTTACTAAGCGTATTAATGTATTATGTATACCTAGGTACCTATATATATACTTTGTAGATAATTAATGGAAAGTAAAATGAAAAACGGAGAAATTATTTTTGTCTTTTAATGTCTTATGACATATAAGTGTATTTGATACACTGTAATACGGGAGTGCAAGAGTGTATTGAGGGAGGGGGTGATATGAGTGTTAAAGCACCCTCATCGGCCGTATTTTATTATATTTTACTTAACTCTAAACTCACTCACAAGTCACAGTGTAATTTGCTCTACACGAGTGCAAGAAATAATATACACCGCCAAATTCGACGATATCATTATTATCATTCATGATAATACACCAAGGTAGTGTGATATAATTTTCACCCATGTAGTGCATTATTAATCGTGTGATTGTGTGAAGTGGAAAACGCTAATAGTTCGTAATGATTATTGATAAATATTTTACATAATAAACTGTTTTAATAATAAAATCATTTGCATTAGTATAACAATTTATATCAATACATATTATTTGTTAATGTAATACAGGGAGTATGGGGGGCGGAGCCCCTACCTACCGTAAGTTTATTAAATTTTAAAACACCCCCGTAAAATGAATCCTGGATACGCCACTGCATGAATGTTAACCTATATATTTTGGACTTAGGAATATCGACTATTTAAAATACATTTAATATAAGTGAAGTTCTTAGTTCCTAGTGTTCCTATACGTAAGACTTAAAAAAAATGCCTTGGACAATAAAAAAAAATAAGCTATATATATTTAGTATTTACAGAGTGTCTCGTTATGTTCGTTCACTTGCAACTCTTTCCCTGTTGTACTATTCTTTTGTGCTACAACAATTTAATACAATGTATTGTTATTCATTTTACAATTTTTTAATATTATTATTATTATATTTAATAAAATTTATAAAAATTGGTTTTGTTTTGTTCAAAGACAACTCAAATAAAATGTTTTTTTAAATTTATATCCTAACAGATCAACCGTGATTATGCCATAATGACCAACTAGTTTTGAAAAAATGTGGTTTCATCCTTCTATTTGATTATTTTATTGGTTCGATGTCTTTTGTCAAGGGTTATTTGATGTATATTCCATGTTGGTATATGTGTATAGCCATTAGCCATACAGGTAGATGTAGTAGTGAAATATTTGACATACGTGGTATCAAAATAATTGAACCAATCTGTTTCCTTCGGCAACACAAATATTTACAAAATATTGATTCTTTCTAATACCTACTTAGTTTTCTGGAAAATAACAATAATTAGATAATACTAAGTTACAACAATGATATTAGTCCAATTAGTAAAGATTGTTTAGACAATTTAGTTAATCATGGTCTACTATATTAATAAATATAAGGATAACTTAAAATGTGTATAACATAGATAATTAACTTGTTACGCTTATTTTAATTATTCTTTATTTTTGTGAAAAGAAACGCACATACATTTAATTGTCTTAACTCAGAAATATTTTTTTATTATTATTTAGGTATTTGAGTCTAACCTAGGGGAACTAGGTCTAAGGTTCAAACTTAAATATTGTATAAAAAAAAATCTAAAGTGGGACGGACGTTACGAAACACCTTGTATAACTTATTTTGTGTCTTTTTTATCCTATTACCAACAAAACTTCCCATACCGGAATACACACTGAACCATATAGCCTGCAGGTCACCGCGTCAAATGTCAATGCAAATGCGCGAAATTATATTTCAATCGAAAACAAAGGAGGCAACGTATTCCCAATTATGAACAACACACACTTTTAATGCATATAACAATATACAAATTATGCGACAAACTGGTTGGAGGTTATTATAATTATAAATTAGGTACAATTTTTATTATATTATATTACTCAATAGTCAATAGTCAATATACATAAAAACATAAATACATAATACAGGTACTGCGTCATTATCTGTATGATCTAAGTGTCGAACAGTGGAGTGATAATATACTGGTGAAGACGTGAGCAGAAATATACAAAATAATATAATGATTTAAACTAGGAATCAAAATATATGACTTGGTCTAATTTTATTAGTTTTTGAAATGATTTAAAATTATTAATTATTATTGTTTAATGTAAACCGTAGGAAAATCGTGGTTTAATTATTGTGAGGCATTAGTATATATATAGACATAAAACCATAGACCTTAGTATAAGGTATATGCATAAAACATAAATTTATGAGCTCTAAAATATAGTGTTGGTAATCGACATAGGAAAACCAATGACGTGCGGATATCTGTGGACATAGATCTGTTCCAAAATGTCGACTTCTAATCGCTGTTATCAGGGACACTGTCGCGCTATCAGTTCTACGGCTGCGTAAGACTACTTTACTCATTATTCAGTATTCACCAATATTATTAGGAAAACGAAAAAGAAAAAGGACAACAAATTGTATCATGTGTGTGTCTACTGTCTACAATCTAGTATTGAGTTCCTGCCATAATATTATATTAAATGTGTAATGTTTTATGATAATAAATTAATTACTAAGTTAACTACGCGTGAAACACCAACGTGATTTTTCATACCATTTGAAAATGCTCGTAGTTTCCGACCTCTGCTTTGCTCTAAAATTCTTTTAAAATATCTATCGAGTACATCAGTATTGCTGCGAAAAGCAAGAACCTTTCGTGTTTTACTTATTTATACGCGCCTGGTACATATAAGCACACTCACAAAATGATGGTCAGATCGGATGCAAATAGCATGGTCAATCGCGTGCGTAGAACTCTAAACAATGCGATCAGGGACGAAAACTTCTACATGGCTCATCAATTGTACAAATCCCTCTATTCCAGGTATGTTACGAAAAAATAACGACAATAATAATACTGATTACTATTTCAAAACGTTGCTTCAAATGTCTTAACTGTATATTGTCTCCTCTTCTTATAATACCATCACTGATTGTATCATTGTATGCTTGCAGATATATAAGCATGCAAAACAAAAACGCTGCCATAATGACACTGCAGGAAGGAATTATTGTACTATATGATAATAATCAAGTAATTATTATATAATGATATGACAAAGTTCTTTAATATATTTATTATTTTTATATACATATTTTAGATTAGCATTGCTACCGATTTAGCACAACTATTTGCAAAATCCTTATCAACACAGCACATCATTCCTTCTGAAAATATGTTTGATTTCATTAGAGAGTAAGTCTATATAATCACTTTTTGAAGCATATGTGCTTAAATTGTTATTTTTATTTAGTATATTTAGCAAATTCGGTCCATCACTATCTGCAGAACGAAATTCCATGTTAAATCCAATCATACAGTGGACGATTGAACATTGTCCTGAATACCCAATGGGACATCCAGGTTTACATAAACGTATAGGATATATCTATTGGTCAGGTAATCAATCATACATCCTATTACACTATTATGTTTAAAAAATTAAAATTTGAAATATGTATAAATTTAGAGGCTAACTTTGCATTAGCTCAACATCATTATTTGAGATCAACAGATGGTTTATCATTCGCAGCTATGTTGGTAGAAATGCATAAAACACGAGGATTTAAATATGAAGTTGATTTATTTATTACACAAGCTGTACTGCAGTATGTATTTAAAAAAACCTAAAAAAATAAATACAGATATTTATATTTCTTTATTTTAGAGGATTGTGTATGCGTAACATATCAATGGCACAATCAACATTTCAGTCATATACTAAGTTACATCCTGCTATAAATGATGAACCACCATACATTTTGCCATTACTCAATTTCATTTGTTATTTATTAAAAATATTAGATGGGTAAGTAACTAGCTATTTGTTTTATAATGGTATTCGTTTAGTATGTGACCTTTCAGACTGATATTAAAAACAGTCAAATTAAAAATCATAAAACTAAGTAATTTTATTATTACAGATTACAGATTACGTTTAAAATTAGAAAAAAAAATAAATAAAAATATCATAAAATTATCTTTAACAATACTTTTGTATATCACTTAAGTAAAGTTTAAAAATTTTATCTTGCCTGTTAATAGATCAGTATCATGTCTTAATTAAATGACATGGGAATTTTCAGCTGACTCCTCGTGTACTTTTTGTAGGATTTTAGTTTTTAATATTCGCATGAATATTCAATTGCTTTTGTGAGTTCATGTAGTTTTAATGATTGATCCAAACTTACTTTTGAATTGCATTGTGCATTGTTTATGTAAAAAATCTATTTGTTAATTATATTGATTTTATATCTGACATATTTTTGTGATAATTGTATAGTGTTGATTTCTCAAATTTTATCCATAGCCAATCTTTTTATCTGATGTACATCCTGGTTTTATTTTAATATTTAGAGTAAAAATTAGTTTTGTTATTTGGGGTAATAGTTTATTCTTTTGTAAAAATTCTAACACATTATTCTTCATAATAAATAATCGCATACAACTCAACTGCTAGTATTTTAAAATTTTAAATACACATGATTTATGATTATTGATTAACAATAAATTGTCATTAATGAACAATGTATAATATTAAAATGACAAAATATCTATTGGTAAAAACCAGTAAATATATAATAAAATTATAAAAATAAGCAAGTATAGGTTGTCCATACCTACATAATAATATATTCTTGCTATATCACATACCATATCAATACCTTTATAATTGGTTAGTAACTAATTTTATTACTTTAATATTTATATGCATTATAATTTATATTTAGTGGAAAACTAAAAACTTATATAGTACTTTGTGAGCAATATCAATCATCTTTGACCAGAGATCCGAGCTACACTGAATATTTAGATAAAATTGGACAACTTTTTTTCCATGTCAAGCCATATGAAAGGAGACCTAGACAACAACATGGATTTTTAGGTTAGTATATCAATAGTAGTTTTTGTTTAGTATTATTTAAATACATTTTTCCTATCATAAGGAATAAATTGTTTTTATTTTGTTATTTCTATAAATCTAATTTTTTTAAATTTTCTATTTCTAATAATATTGTTGATTTAAATTTTGTTGAGAATTAAAATTCTTTTTTAACTTTTAGAATAATGAACATAATACATAATTCAGTAGAGCCTCAATAATTTATATGAATTCAAACCGAGTGTCGTTTGGATTTTTGTAGATTTTTTTTTTAATTACCTACCCAAATGACTAAGACATTTCTTATAGCACATTTATTTATTAAATTTACCAAATTACAAAAATAATATATTAGGTACAAAATTTAATAGGAAACTTTGCAAGATAGAAATGAACAAACTGACAAGCAATTTATGATTGCCTATAAAATAATGAAATAATAAAATAGATAATGATTTGATAATTTATTATTGCTGATAAAATAATAAATTAGATTTAGGAATTTTAAAAAATGTACTTATTATTGTATTTATTTTAAACTAATAGCATTAATTGATAATAAAATTTATTAATTTACTTATAATTTCCTTAGAATATTTATGATATATGTATATAGATTATACCGTAACAATAATAAAAAATGGTCAAATCATAGATGCTAAAAATAATTATATTTCTAACTAATGACAAAGTTTTTATAGTATATTAAATCAATAAAAATTATTTTATTATGAATAATTATAATATGTTGTTAATTGGAGAGGCCTCTCACGTGACACTTTGATCAACATAAATCTAGACTCCCATACATTTAACCTAAAATGTGCCTATAAGTTAAACTATGTTTAAAAATCTTGTATAGTCTCATTAATAAGTTTTAATTTAATTAATTTAGAAAATTGAGTAATAATTGTGTATTGTATAAAAAAAATGTATTTGTTTAATGGATAATTAGATCGTTTTTGATTCATTAATGATTGTTTATACAACCTACAAAAGACATTTTTTTTGATATAATACTTATTGTTAGGTCATCAAAATTTTGATTAAATAAAGTATTACTTATTTTTAAAGTTATCATTATTCTTAGAGATTCATTTTTAATTTAATAAATCAGCTTATAAATATACTTTCTCTTAAAAATTTTACATTATTAACAATTATTATCCTTGTATAATATGAAAATTGTAGAATAATTTCCCTTTGCATTTCTCATTTTGTCAAAATGTTTAAATTAGGTAAAAAAAATTCACTAAGGAAGTCTTTATAATAGATATATAAACATAATTTTGTTAAAATTTAGTTGCAATAAAACTATAATAACTGCTAAAAATGTTAACTTCAAACTTAAATTACCCAGAAAGTATTTATCTTCTAGACCAATTGCTACACTTGCGACAAAAAGGAAATTAATAATTATTATATGGATGGACAATAGTTATACATGAAATTATGTTGGAAAAATATATTAAACTATCAACTCCTAATTAAAAAAAAATCTATGTTTGCAAAAATGAAGCAAAATTATACTACTTCACAGCCCAAAAAAATTTCTGATTGTTCGACAATATCTTACACTCGTGATATTATGCCTATGTAAGAGCCTTACTCAGTTTTTTAAATAGTTATTGAAGTGGATAATTGATAGATGAATTAATATGTTGAGAAAGGTATGTGTAGAGTATTAATAGGTAATTTGTGTAGTAGATTTTGCTATCTAATTTTATCTGTTAGGCTACAAAATAAAAAATGTATTTTTTTTATAATGAGTATAATAGATAGAGGCATCAAAATCACGTCAATTTAAACAAAAACAGTAAATTAAATAAATAATTTAAAATTTGTGAATTTATTTCATTGTTACTACATAAACATGTTTACTTTATTTTTTAGAGTCAAAGTAAATTTCTGTTTGTTTAATTTTAAGTAGTGAAAAAACATTAATATACTAGGTACTTAGATTAAAATTTTATATATTAATACGAATTTCATTATTCATTTTCAGGTAATTTGATCAGTACATTGATGGGCGACTATGACCGTGATGGAGAACCACGTCCATCATCTTCACGTCCGATAAATGTAGAACCTCTTGATTAACCACATTGATTTAATAAAAAAAAATCTTTTTTCTTTTAAATTACCGGGTTTTAATTTATATTAAAAAAAATAATAATGATAATAATATAATTTAACTAAATATAATATATAGCAATTTATTTGTGTTTTCTTTCTAATTATTATTATATTTTTTAAATACAACTTGTAAAATCCATAATATTCTATTAAAAAAATCCATCAATTCGTATATTTCATTGATGTTTAAAGTTTTTAAACTTAATAATGTATGTAATTGTACTAATGTTTAAATTGTTTTGTTCAATTTAACATAATTTGAAGTCTTACATTTTTAACTTGTTTTTTGATTATCTATGAAGATAGCTACAACTATAGTTCTTTAAAAATGTACACTAAAAATTTTGAATATTTATGTATTAAAATATAGTTTACTAAATGTTTCTTAGTATGTATTTATAAATCTATTTTAAAACTTATATTATAATCATACTATGTGTATATACTTATAAATAAATTCTTAATATATATATATATATAAATATATAATATATGTAACAGTGTGTCTGTGTATACATACGTATATGTAAAATACACGAATAATAAAAAAAAAAGTATATTAAAAGGATTCAATATGATTAAAAACAGTCTCTCCCCACTATTTTCTACTAAATAGTTTTATGATGTCTTGATTCACTTAAATTATCTCACAGTTATAGTTAAACCACTGACGTATTTATTCTGGTGTTTTTATTTTCTAATATTAATTTACATAAAACATACTAGACTTAAGTATTTTTTATCATCTTAATATCATAAGATGATGTATATAAAGGGGTAAGTTCTGTGTTTAAATTACTCCTATTTTTAAATATTTTAGTAACATTTTTTGAGTAAAGAATAGATAAATAAGAATAAAAAATTTTTGAAAATCAATTCTTAAAATATTGAATTGGCTTTTAAGGATTTTTGTATCTATTAAAAAATATGATTTTCATTATTAAAAAACTTTTATATCGAATACATCAAGGATGAAAAATATAATTTTTGTATTTATATGATAATTATTTTTGGTTACAGTATAGGTAATACTGCTCAGGTAAAATGTAAAATATCAAATTACATTGTCCTTGTATAGTGGTTATAATAAAGTATGATGAAGCTGTATAATGTACATATTGTGGTTTAAATAAAATAGTTTACATTATTATATACATTTTCAATTAGCTTACCGGTATTATTTCAGTGCATACATTTATAATATAAAAAAATTACGGATTTTTTATTCAAGTAATTTTTTCTTTAGCGATTATTAATTAAATTCACACAAATATTTACAGTTTCTTTTAGAAGTACATGAGTACAAAGCTAAAAAAGGACGCCAAATTGAGGATAAATCATTACTTTATTTTCAATAAACTAAAATTAGCTGAAATCAATTTATACAAAAATGTATAGTTGCTTCAAATAGTTGAGTTTTTTATGTCATCGTAATTTTTTCAATTCCCCGAAAATTTGAAGAAAATACCTCTAAGTTGCAACTATAACATTTAACACTAATATTCAATCTAGAAAAGTTAATAAATACATACATTGTCATCGACTTCTTACTGTACCTATAACCATTGATTATAGAATAGACTATAGTAAAAATAATAGTTAAATATACTAATAGTCTATTCTATAATCAATGCTATAACATATCAAAATGTTTGTTCAACAGTTCCAATTTTGTAGGTACAGTTATATTTGGTATTAGAATGAATTGACTTATTTATTCTTAAGGTAAGAACATTATTTGTGCTTACATAAATTTTTCAACTAAAAAAAAGCATTTTAAATTTTCTGATTGTACCTATTTTGGTTTTTAATATTTAAAAATTACAATGAATTAATTAAAATTAAGATAATAAAATTATCATAGGTATAAATCGAGAGGTAGGATTAAAAACTCCTGACCCCCTCCTACAAACATTTCCTTAACCTTATAACTTATAAGTATAATAAATTTATTAATACATGTTAATTAATATTTCTAGCTCCCCAAATGTTTAACTTTATTTACGTCCATGAGGATCATATTATATTGCTGTAGAGTAAGGTGATATACCTAATACTTATTTTAAGTATATTTTTTGTATATTTGAGATTATAAAATTAAAAAAAAAAATAGTGTGACGAAAATACAAAATTAAAATATAATATTTTTATTCAATAGTTTGTTTTTTTAACTGGAATTATTCATCTAATATAATATATTTGGCACAAGACCGAAGTTCTCTAATCCTTCTAAATTTAACACGTCGTTCTCTAGATATTTGTCGAAAGTAATAAACCTATCAAGATGTCACGCTTTAACGAAACTCGTAAATATTACGTATTTTAAAGTCGTTATTCAGGTTTATATTGTGTATATATTTTAAAAACTTAAAATATATTTATGTAGGTTTGTTAATTTTTTATTATTTTTCTTTTTTTTTTTTTAGAAATTACTTAAGATGGAGACTAATTGTTTTAATTGCAATGATTATTTTTCCAACTAGAATAAACGTTTCAGCAAGTATGTACTTCGATATCTATCTACGACTAGGCCTTTTTACTTTTTAGAGAAACGGTTGCAACACTAATTGTAATTTGTACACCTAAATACCTAGTATAATATTATATAATTTGACATCCTTAATTATCCAAATAAGACTATAAAAAAATGGATTTTTATTTTAAAATAAGCTATACTTATAAAATACACGAGTGTAATTTTCTTTGATTACAGATAATAAACCTCAAACACATTCCGAACGTCCTACTGATTATTTAGGTAAATACTTATACTTTTTACGATTTTACTTAATGTATTTAAAGCATTAAGGCCTTAAAACTTTTAAAGCCTTATACATTTATAAAGTATGATGTTTAAAATAATAAAAAAAAAAAAGTTTAGTGTTTTATTTTTAATATTAAGTATTTCTAAAGATAAAGGTCTTATAATCCCGGTTAAATATACTCCACTGCTACGATTACTAGGTACTTTATTTATTATCAAGTCACCCATAGGTAATGGGTTATGCGTTGTAATCGATTTTTTAAGTAAGTACCTAGGTATATTATCAAAGTTTTTAGCTAGTTCCCATCGTTTAGTAGAATAAAGTATGGGTCACCGAGACCGAGGTTAGCTATTTTAAACATTTTTTTTTATGGTACCTATTTATATTTATTGTTGAAGTGTTCGAGTTCGAAGTTAACGTAAAGCCTCATTATTTTATTTTTAATTTTAAATAAAAAATCTGTTTAAACAATAAAAGAGTGAAGAGTGAAATAGTAGCTAAGTAAAAATGTATCTAACTAATTTAACAGATTGGTATTTGATACCGCCATAGGTCGTCTTGGGGAATTGTTTTACTTTATTTGTTAATTTTAAACTTTAGATCAAGAGGTTAAGCCGACTATGTATATTATAGTAAAGTCAAAGCGAGCGTAGAACCTATCAAAAATATTTTGTCTTTGCTTGATCATTCTAACTGATTGAAAGATAAATAAAAGAAGTATACAATGATATAAACGTTTTGCTCAATCCCAATTACTATGTTAATAACTAGGTATAGAGTGTAATTTTCCAAAAACAAATTCAGATATTGAAATACATCAGATACATGTACCTACTTTATGTAAATGCCATTAATCTATATAAATAATGCTATTAACATGTGCGTACATCTGTTAAAACCGTCATTTGCATAATATGATCTTATTAAATATTATTTATTATGGGTGTACTCGTTATATATACAGTAATGTGTTCTGCAGATTACGATGAGGGCGGCACTAGTAAGCCCGTTAAAGACCAAGCATCGATACAGGTTCCGTGCGGGGACTTCCGGCCTGGAGAGGACGATCTACAAATAATCGATTTCATTAGAAAATTTGGGTTGGATTCGGCAGAAGAAATATTGAGGAAAAACGTTATCAAAGTGACTGGATCAAATCGTTTTCAGACTGCTTATAGGGTGGAAAAAACAGCACTTTTAATTATGCCCACAAGGTATGTAACATAGTTACCTAACTATTGTAAAGAGTTAACACTTAACAGTATACCTGTATATTGTACTTTACTGTAGGTACACTAACTACGTACTAAGTAATAACACAGGACAATGATACTTATGTAGGTATGGTTAAATTACATTTTTTTTAAATTTAATTTATTTGATTATTTCAATACACTGTTTTGATTAATCTTACAATGTTAAGATTTTATGAATTAATGTTTACAATAATTACAATAGTTATTAATAAGTCTGGATGATCTTTTTGTACCTATTTAAATATACTATACACTAGGTGTACAGGAAGAGATCCTGTGGTAGTCGTGGTTATATGAATTAATAAGTAGACTTGTTGCACAAAATCATCTTTTAAATTAATTTTACGAGCAGTTTTATCAAATCATTAAATAATAAATATTTTTATTTAGCCATTTGGATTGCACATACGATTATATTGAATGAAAATTGAAAATAAATTGGTTTTGAACATGATACCAATGTTCAGATTAAAATTTTATCACAAGAAAAGTGATGATTAATAGGTACATTAGAGCTGTTTTAATTTGAATTTATAAAAACGTTGAGTGACAACAAGTTTAATGACTGACTAAAATATTTTAATAATCTGAAATCGGACTATTAGCCTAATTAACTGGTGACCAATGGTTTAGTCATTTAATGACTCAATAACTTCAACGTACGTTCAGTGAATGAATAACTTTTTTTCATTTAATGGCGTGCTTTTATTCATTAAATATTTAAAAAACGTTTTTACAATCCAGCATTCGACTATTAAAATAAATAATTTATTATACAGTCTACAATAGTTCACTATAAAAATAGAATTATTTTAGAGTGGTAATTGGTACTGATAAATAATAATCTTTTTATTATTATACCTAATTACATTGCATTGGCCCAATTATAGAGAGGTGTTTATTTGACTGTCCTGGTTTATATTCCCTAATATCTCCATTGCCCATTAGCTATAATAAGTTGTTTTGTCGGTTACAGCTATATTTAGTTTGCCAATTAAATATTTATTATTTTTAAATTTAAAATTACCTATTACTCGTGTTATCAATTATCATTGTTATAGCAACCGTAGCCGGTAAGTACTCGTAACTCATAACACTCTTAACGTTAAATTACTTAAATACAATTAGCCTAGGTTAGATTAGGTTGCAGACTTTGTAAAAACATTTTAGTATTATAGTCATTAGTCATACATTTTATACAATTTTGGAATATTTTGTTACTTTTCTAATTAAAGTAGGTACCTATTTGATAAGTAGTCACTTCCTACGCCTACTTGTTTCTGTTATCAAACTCAAGATTCTATGATCTTCCGGTCGGGAGATTGGCCGATTGGCCCCCTAAATCTCCTGAAGAGGAATCTAGGAATATTTTCATTTGCATCCAAGTATATAATAGGTATCGGTGTACGGTATTTTTGACCCATGTATAATTTTTATATATAGGTATATATATATATATATTATATATACAATGCATAAAGGTTTAAGATGGAATTGTTTTTACATTTTCAAATCAACTGAAATGTATAAATATATGTGGTGCACAATTATTAATAATACATTTATGTTTAAAATTGATTGACATACCTAGATTAAAAAATTCATTAGAGCATTCAAATTTTCATTTGATCTTAAAAAAAAGTGCACGTAATGCTGTTAAAAAATTTTTTTTCTAGACTGCAAGGCTTTGTTGATTAATTATATAAAAAAAATAATACTGCAAAGTTATGGTCAGTGGGTTAAATTTGAATTAATCTTGTTTCAGAAAAATTCTGTAATAGCAATTTATTTAAAAAATTAAAATTAAAAATTTGAAATATGTATTTAGTTGAAACAAACTACAAAAAAAAAAAAAAATATTTCACTTGGATTTTTACCTTTAGAAGATATAGAAGTTGCATTTGCTAATTTAATTGAGATTAATCTTGCAGTTCTGCTGATAATTTTAAATTGGTTGATAATAATATAAAAATATAATATAATATTATAATATATTGAACCATTATGTACCATGTTTTTTCACTGATTTTATGAACAAATGAACATTCAACATGTAGTGATGCTTATTTGTTTATGTAATTTGCGGAATTATCTAAATATAAAAAGGTAAAATGTAGATAGCTGGGTTACGAGCTTATGCACTGTAAGTATATTTATTTTCAATATGAATACCATGAACCATAAAGTAGGTAATATTATTAAGTAATATTAAATATTATTTTGATAGATTATATAATTATTAGGTACCTAGTATCTACTACCTACCTAGTACTTACACAAAAATGTTAATCTTATTTTATTTATGTTTATAGAAATATATTTCCCTTGGGCATACCTCAACAATTTTCTTTTATTGCTACCTTCAGTTCAAGATTAGTAGCTAAAACACAGTGGCACATACTGAAGATTGTTGATTATCAAAATAATACTAATTTACAAATTACACTGAATCAAGTTTTAGGAACTGTAGAGTTCTCGATTGTTAATTATAATGGGTACTTGCAAACTGTTAAATACGAAGCAAGCCATGTAAGTTAATTTAATATTTTATGAAATGAACAATTTATCAATATACAACCTGATTTCTTTTACTTACTAGACATTATGTACTACCATTTTGGGTAATAATAATATCTAAATTAGAATATTAATTTATGTATATAGATTATAGATGTGGTACATTTGGTAATAATCTATGAAATATGTATTGTACATATTAATGTTATTATTATTATTATCATTCTATTTTAATGTAAGTATTACTTATATAATAAAAAGTTCAATGGAGAATTTCATTTATTCATTAAAAAAAAAAAAATATATTTTTCTTCTATTTATTATTATTATCTTAGTTGAGAAAAAATTTTTTGTAAATAAAAAATTTAAAAATTTAAAAAATTATAATTTCTGTTTCTTGAAATTGATTAAGTAGGTACCTGACAAGCATCAATAAATTTATTAATTAATCACAACATAATCAAATACAATATTTTCTAACTTTTTAGATATTTGATAGAAATTGGCACAAGTTACATTTTGGAGTATTTTACGATAGAGTAGTACTTTACATAGACTGTAAACAAGTTGGTGTTAAAATGTTGGAATCTAGAGGTACAGTGGATATGTTTGGTAGTACAGCTCTAATGACAAATAATGATTATTTAGCAGCACTAGTAAGTAGCATTGAAAACTATAATTCATTTCAGTTTATAATTAATTTATTTTAGGTGGATGTACAATGGATAACATTAAGTTGTGATCCAACAAAACCTCAACGAGAAGGATGCACAGAATTGTATCTAGTAATAATTGAAATTAATTGAAAATTTTTTACTTTTGTTTTTAAATAACTTAAAATTTTCATAAAGATGGGAGAAGAAACTGTACAAATTCAACAGCCAATTGCAGCTACGTCTGGAAGTAATTGTCCTAACCGAGAAAATCAATGTGCCAACAGACATCCACCAATCGTAAATCAAAGTAAACAGGGACCGCCAGGACCTCAAGGACAAGAAGGGCCACGAGGACTAACAGGTCCACAAGGCCCTCCAGGTCCACCAGGAATTCCAGGAGTGGAAGTAATAAAAATATTATTTAGTTATAATTATAATTTGTATAACTTATAGGTTATTAATTTATTATTCTTCAATTTAATATGTACAATTTGTTTAAAGGGTCCACGAGGATATCCGGGTTTACCTGGTACTCCAGGTATACCTGCATTGCCTGCTTTACGAGGAGAAAAAGGAGAACAAGTAAATACTGACATAAAAATTATATTGTATAATATTCATTCATAACAAATCAAATTAATTTTAGGGAGAACCTGGAAATCCTGGAAATAAAGGCGAACCTGGACTTCCTGGAACTATTACATATATTCCAGCTCAACAAGAAACACAATATTTAAGACCAGTTAGTATTTATTTAACAATGGCTGATTAGTAAATAAAAATTACTTAAGAATGTTGATTTTAATACTGGGTGATTCTTTTATCAAACAACACTCATTATACTAAAATCTATAATATTTTTAAAAATATTTAATTTTCATAATTTATAGTTGACACAAAATATCATTTTTTAAATTTTTTATGACAACATATATTTTTAATTTCATTTTCTAAAGCAGAATATTTTTCAAAGTATTTCAATAATGTATGAAAATCAAAATTTAGACGAGTATAAGTTTACTGTTATAAGTATTTAAAGTTTTGATAAGTGAAGTAATAGACTAACATTTTGCAAGATATTTTGTATTACTCTGTTCTGCTCAATGACAACATTATTAAAAAAAGTAAATAACTAAAAAACTTACAATGATTAAAAATATACTTTTTGTAAAAATGTTTTATTTTGACTAAAAACTATGTCATACACCTAGATTAAAAAGACATTTTTCAACAATTTGTTTTTAAAATATGATTAAAGTTATTAATAAACCAAATTTTCAAAAAACAGACCGTATTCATTCCAAATCATTTTTGTACATAATAATTTATTATTAAATTCAAGTTTAACACAATCATAATAGTGACAAAATTCACTCGTTACTTACTGTACAGCAAAATAGCGATTTCCTCTTTTTTAAAATATTTTTGTTTATATATTATTTTCTGCAGGGAACACTTAGCATACCAGGCGAAAAAGGAGAACGAGGAGAACCTGGATTGCCAGGTTATTCAGTATGTTATTTATTTATTATTCTTAATCAATTTTTTTTTTATGTATTTCAAATAATCAAAAAATTTAATTAAAATAAAGATGTATGTTTATTGTATAATAAAATAAATATCAAATTAAATAAATAATTAAAAAGAAGGATCAAAACTTGCAAACTTAATTTGCATTGGATATTTTTATTAACTATTCTACTAAGATACCTATGTAATAAACTAATAATTTTAAAACACTATACAAAAGTATATGTAATATAATTCATTACATTCTTTTTTTTTTTGCAGGGAAATGGTTTTACTGAAAACGAGTTGAAAGAAATGTGTAAATCAATTTTGAAAGGTAAATTTATTGTTTTTTAATCTAAATTATGAATTATGTTGTAATTGATGTAATCACTTATCACTAAGACAGTACTAAAAATATATTAGCCCTATCTTAAATTTTGAAATATTTGTATTCAAATGTAGTTTTACAAATAATTCAACATAATCTACATCCAATACATTAAAAGTTAAAATTAAGTTTAACAAAAATAAAATATAAGTTTCTTTATTGTTCCCAATATTTATAGTTTTGTAAATTTAAAAATTACCTTCAATAATTTTATAGAAATAAAATACCTAGCATATAAAATGTACTAAAATGTATTCTTTTAATATTTTAAATAATATTCACTATAGAATTTAACCTCTATAATGCCTTGCTCCAATCATATTTTGAATGTACAGGTTTTAATAGTATTTTAATTATCATTCTTAGAACAATTATCTGAACTCACAAACACCTTCATTGGTCCGCCTGGGCCTCCAGGTCGGTCAATTATAGGTAAACCTGGTCCACCGGGTATCCAAGGCCCTCCAGGTAATTTTTTAGTAATAAGATTTTTAAAAAATTTACAAAATAAATTTTGTTTTTTTTTTTTTAGGAGAGCCTGGATTACCAGGCTTAGGAATGCCAGGTGAAAGAGGTTTTCCAGGATCTCCTGGTATGCAAGGATCACCGGGTAAGTTTTAATTGTCCTAACTTGTCCATTAAATCTTATGTATTTGTCTGATATTGAATTTTATTGATTGCAATAAAAATGTATCCTGTTAAATTATTTTATTTTAATACTATTGAATTTTAAATGGTAGGTCCTGAAGGGCCAGTTGGACCAAAAGGAGATAAAGGGGACCGTGGAACAGAAGCAGTTGCATATGAAGGACCACCTGGACCCCCGGGTCTACCAGGTTTATATTTAATTTTAAGCTTTAAGTTGTTTGCAATTAATTTAAATTAATTTTTAGGTCCAAGTGGAGCAAAAGGCAGACCAGGAGATAGAGGTGAACCAGGAAGACCGGGTATGTACACTATAAACAATATTAAATTGCTTACCCAGTACTTTTTTAATAAGAATTAATTTAAATAATAAAAAAAATATTTTCTTCACATAGTAACTAAATTTTCTTAAACAGGTCCAATTGGTCCAAATGGTTATCCTGGACCTCAAGGTTCGCCAGGATATTGTGAAATGTGTAATAATGTCTATTATGCAGGTAGACCACCAGCAGTTGGAAATTTCAAAGGACCTTAAGTTAAACATGCAAATATATACAATATATTTTATATTACATTATATATTACTTATCAACCTTTACTAATAAAGATTTATCAAAACATATAATAAGTATTTTCAATAACGTTAAAATACAATAACAGTGAATTCATAATACAATTCAGTTCATATTTTCGGGATAATGTACAACATTGGATTTTGAGTTTTAAAATATTTGCAATAATTATGTCATCAATAAACATTTCAAATGTTTGTTTTTGATTATTTAGCTAGTATACATTAAATATTTGAATTTATTACTGGAAATGATGAGAAATAAAAACAAATGTTGTTGACTAACAATGATTTGTCATTTTAATTCTAAAGGTAATTTTGTTAGTAATATCACTAATATATTTAAAAAAAATAAAATGAACAAAAAAAAAAAAAAAAAAATAAAAATAAAAATAATATATATAAAAACAAATAATTGAATTTATTTACACAATTACATTGCTTTTAAAAAATAAATAAACATTCTGATTCTATGTTTTAAAATGATGTAATAAGTAGGTCTAATTAGTGAAAGTTAAAAAAAAATGTTACACCAAACAGTAACAGATTTACATCTTAATGGTAGCGGTATTTTATCAATTGAAATTATGATTTAAGTCAATGCTTATTGTCGACAATTAATATATTTTTTTAAATATTATGTGAAGTTGAATTATTTTTAAAATCCAGTTTAAAAATAAATGTCAAAATACTATTAAAGAAATTAAATCAACACTTAATTTGCAAAGACAGGAGTATAGGATACAATTGAATAGTCTTGATGTAAACCTGTCACAAAACACATTTACTGTGTAAAGACTTATTCATCATTTACATATATTAATATTTTATAATAAAATTAGCAACATTGATAATTTTTTTGAATATCTGATTGGAGTTTTTATAAATACTTTACAGTAAAATTGAGTTTGTAAATATACCACACATATATATTTTAAATTTAATATGAATATAGTAATATTTATACAGTACTATGATCGGCAGAATAAAAAATAAAATATAGTAAGTACCCTTTAAAACATTTAAAAATTGTTTTAAAATCAAGCAGAATTATACATAAAACAGAATAGCAATTTTAATCAAACGCAAAAACACACATAGGTAAAAAGGTTTATCACCAGTATATCAATTTGACATTACTATCACACACAGTATTTAATTTAAAATATATTCAAGATACATATGCGTATATAAACTTTCAGTTATAGATTTTAATAGCTTTTTCTAAATAATTTAATCGTGTGCGTTTAGTTTTATTTGGATGTTCCATGCCCAACCATGGTCGTTGGCCTTGTCCTTGAGCTGAAATTCAAAAAAGTTTTTTAAAATTAATTAATTTTTATCAAATTGCTGATTTTATAATGTAAACGAAGATTAGTTTTACAACTAGAAGCAAAAAAAGAATCTTAAAATTTCATATTTTTATTTAATATTAATATCAGATGAGGATTTAAAAAAGTTAACTTGAATTTTTTCTTTTAAATTTAGTTAGATTTTAAGAAATTTTTTAGTGTAATGAATAAAAGTTATGAATTATTAATTAAATTAATTTTTAATAAAATAAACGACATATTAAAAGACTAAATAAATTTACTTTAAAATTAAACAAAATCATATTATAATATTGAGAATAGTAGTGGTAGCGGCAAAAAAAAAAATATTTAAGATTTTGAAAACCACTGAAGTAAATGTAATAATTGATAAAAAAATGTAAGTGGTAGTTTAGTTTAAATTTTTATTCTCTTAAAATATCAAGTCCTTTATTAAAATATTTTTTTTTTATTGAACTTAAGCTTTGACAACTAGGGACATAACTGTTGTAAGGGTAAGGTTGGTACGGTAGGTTGTTTTTTATGATTGTTACGGTTGATAGAGCCAACGCGCCACGCCAAGCCACTTTTTTAAAAATTAAATTAAATTTTTCAATTAATAACAATAAGATATTATTAAATACATTTATTTTCAAATGAATAATGCTATGGTTGAATGAATGCATGAATAAAAGATTTATGGTTTGCAAAATTAATTTTTAAACTTTCAGAAAGTTCTAATACTCAATTAATTTAATATATTATTTATGATAAGAATTTATCAGAATAAAAGTATGTGTTAGAGCAATGATTAATATAACTGAATAAATTGAATGTAATTATTAAAAAGAAAAATGTTGGGAGTTGATACAGACGTTAAAAACAAGAAAATATTCATAGTAACGTCAATTTAATAATTTATGGATTCTAAATTTATATATGTTTTCTTAAGTCAGAAGATTGATTTAACCATTAAAAATATTTATTCAAAATTGTCATTATCATTACTAGTATAACTCATATACTTATATATAAGTAAGCTTATAATTAATATATATATATATTAGTAAATTTTCATTGTTTAAAGAATTAATTAATGAAATGTAACAGTTGGAAGCTTTACAATTATAATTTTTTTGTTTTTAAGCAAAATTACTAAAATGAAACGACTAAAAATTATTTTTATTTTTCATGTAAATAAATAATTGAGTAGAAGGAATATCAAAAATACTATACAATAAATTAGACATTTTTATTAGAAGAAAGCAGTTAAAATAATTAAAGTATGCATAGAGACCAACTACTTAAAAAGTTTTAGTCAACAAAATAAATAAAACAAGACTAGAATTTTTCAATACCAAATATTTAGAAATTATACCTTACAAAGAGTAATCAGAGAAAGACGGACAAAGATTTTTATGGTATTGATGTTCCTAAATGAATGACGGAGAATCAATTATGACAAAATTTAAGTACAAAAAACTAATTATATGAAAAATGTGACCATACTTATGATAGTTTTTAGCTGCTATAGAAACACAACTAGACTTTAGAACCTTTTAGTAAACTTCTTCTCAAAAATGTATAGTCAACTGCATTTTTGTTAATTCTTTTTAATATTTAGACAAGTAATGGAGATTTATTCAAGAACCATCTAGATCAAATTTGTTCAGAAACCATTTTTAAAATTGAAGACTGAAACATTTTACCTCTTCAGAAATCATAAAAGTTCAGATTACAACCACAGATGGATACTGTGAACCAATATTCAGAGGGAAACAGTAACTGAGACAAAATTTGTAGATTGTAGATAGCCTCCAATCAGCTATATGATATTATTTAGAGTTCATTCAATATTCCAACAGTCACATGGCTTCCCCTAATTATCACAGCTAAATGATCATCATCTGAGAATATTTATGAAGAATTAAATTTCTACTTATGATGATACAGTTTTAATTCTTTGGAATAATAAGATTTTTCTCGCTTGTAACAGAAGTAAAATTATCATAAAATCTTTTATTTTAGATTAAATCATTCTATAACCCATTTACCCATAAAGTAAATAGTTTTAAAAAAACTTACAGGTAGGAGATGTTTTAAAATCTTGTAAGCTCATAATATGAGTATCAGGAATAAAAGTTGCTCTGACTCCTTGGCAAATTGCAAATTTATACTAAAATTTAAAATTAGAATTAGTTTAAATTTTTAAAAAATTAATAAAATCAACTCACTTTTTCCAGCTCTTTGTCTGGAATACCAGTCTTGTTAACAATTCGCTCTTTTACATCTGCTAAAGTTTCTTCCTAAACAGTAACAAAATACATAAATGTATGTTTTTATTATATAGATATTTTAATTATATAGGACTCTTCACTCACATGTATAATTTTAATAAGAAAAGGAGTACCAAATGTTGAGTATACTTCTTTTGAAAAATGATTAACAGGAACTAATAATTCATTTTCACCAAGTTCCAATTCATCTCTTGGTACTTCTTCTACTCTGTATACAAAAATAAAAATGATTAATAATAAAAAAATAACAATTATCTGTTAATTTTAGTTTATAACTTACCTATAGTATTTTGCTGGGAAAACTGCTGCAATGTCAGGCATTTTTATTCCAGGATTGAACCATTTACTTATTTTAGCTGACATAATTTCTAGTGTTCTAAAAAATATATAATGTATTTAATTTACAATACTAAGAAAGTTAATGTATGTCTTTTAATAATATTACCTGAATTTTCCAGATCCTTCAGGGGATAATTCTACACTGTCATGTAATACATCATAAAAATGAGTACATGAGGTATCATTCTTATTAAGATACAAAACTATTTCTTTTTCGTCTTTTAATTTGGGACCACACCAAATAATCTGCAAGATTAATTTTAAAACTTATATATATTAAGATACTTATTCAACAAATTTTTAACTAACTTTAACGGGTTTTTTGCTTTCCAACTCATCGACTGACATGTGCATTTCCTGATAAAAGAATTTCTTAGGATATCTTTTTCCATAACTGTTATTTGTTATTAGATCTCGAATTGGTCCGTTATAAGAGTTTTTAATTGGTTCACCAGGACATTCCTTTTGACCACTGCTAAAACAAGATAAATTAAATATGGAAGGATGTTTGAATATCATTATTGATATGCACATACTTAACACTGAAATAAATCTGTAATTTACGTTGATCAACAGATACTCTTTCAGCAACTGCTTGTAACATATTGTGGTACAACATCCACATTGGTAATCCCAAAGTAAACCCAGGATCGTTAGGAATAAGTTTATCACAAAATGTTATATACACTTGGGAACAAATATTTCTAAATGAATAAAAAAAATGTCAGTTAATGCTATTATTATTGTTAACTTATTAATTTAACTTACTTAAAATGATCCATAACACAAGGATAGGTTTTAATAAGTTCTTCTTTTTGAAAGATTAATATCTCTCCATAGGTCGATGACTGTATTATCTTAATGTAAAAATAATAATTATATTTGTTAAAATGTAGGGTTCTTAAAAAAAAATAATATTTTAAAACTAAAATTCTTACTTCACAAAGTGGATCATCAAGTTTAGTTATCTTTTCTATTTCATTTTTATTAGTTTCTTTATAAATTGCAAGTTTTGTGTCTTCATCAAAACCAGCTCTTTTGTTCATGATATTAACAAGAGAATCTTAAATATAAATAAAATTATTTTCTTATATTATAATTGTATTTATATTTATAATTTTTTTACCTATTGGTGCTTCATAATTTGCAAAATAGTAACCACAATAAACTAACAGCCTCTCTTCTGGTATAAACAATTTGAAAAAAATCAGGGCCATTTTATTTTTATCAAAAGGCATCAATGAACTAACACCTGGCTTTACTAACTCTAACCAAATATTCCATGTAGTTGATGAAGTATCATGCAAGTCTTGAATAGTTTTTAAAGCATTTGCTTCTCCATCAAGATATAAAGGTCTCAAGGAATCATGTTTACTCGCAATAAGAGGCCAAATTCTAATTTGATTTGATTGATATTTCTAATAAAAATATAAACATAAGTTTCAAAAGTTTATGAATACATTAATTGAAAAATATTTATAGTCGACTTACAAAAGTTTCTGCCAATAATTGATGTACTTCTTCTAAATTATTATTTTTTTTTACTTTAACTGTTCGGAAGGTAGGTTGTTCCAAATCAAATAAATCTATACCCAAATAACTATCAAAACAATCCTCCAAAAAAACTTGTATATTGGTATATATATGTAAATCGTTTCTCTCTTTTCTTCTAATTGTTTCAATACGTTTTTCATCTTGCAATCGTTCTACCAACTAAACACATACAAAATCATCAACATAATACCCTAAATATACCATATCATATTAGATTCATTAACTAATTTCCATTAGATAATAATTTTAAATTAATACTTTTACCTACCTCTTTTGGTATGTCATTAATTGTAACTTCTTGAAGCACATTTTTTAGTTCAGAATCACGTATGTAAACCAACATATATGCATTTGTACATTGCTTTATCGGCATCATATTCTCGTCTCCATCATTTCCACCGAAATTATGTTCTATTGCTTCTTCTTTAGGGCATCTTGAGACAACATCATCATCAAATTTACACCACTGATGAAAAAAATAACACAATACATATTATGTTATGTTAAAATTAACTATGTTATTGTAAATCTACTTTTCCATCTCCTTTAGGATTAATGAAAACAACATAATGTCCACCATGATTATCCCCACTATGAACAAGAACTGCATGCAATATGTAATCAGCTGGAGTTTCTTCTTTTGTTTTTAAATACTGATCCAAATTAATTTTATCATAAAACTCAAATCTAGAACAAAAAATATTTGAATTAAAAACAGAACAATATAGTTATTTAAAAAAAAAAAAAAGTGAGCAAATAGGTACTATTTTTTTATATATTAGATATCAAATGAGTAACTATTATAGGAGTGGTTGAATTTGAATTAAACGATGTATAATTTTCCACAAAAAATAATTCTGAGCGGAAACAATCTACAACTTATACTAACAAATGATTTTTTTTTTTTTTTGATATAGCTATTAATTAATTAAAAGTAGATTGATATAATTTTTTTCTAAAAATATTGTATTTATTTAATTATTATAACATACATATTTATATTATATTATGTTAACTTTAATACTCATCATTTAAAACAATTTTACAACAAATACCTAAACACAGTTATAACAGCACTTAATAAATAATAATTTGAAATAAGTTTAACACATTCATGTCCGCGTCAAATTCAGAGGTTGAGCGCACCCAGCCGCATAAATATTGATAAAATTACACTTGTAATGTTATCATATTAATAACACGTTTTATAAGCATAAAAATGCCGAGAAACCAAAACTAGCTGTTTGTTGTTGTTCAAATACTCATACTGAATGGCCAAGCTAAATTTAATAATCGTTCGCCATCAGCCGACGATTTTATAAGACACAGAAATAATTGTGATATGACGACTATGGGTCGTCATCAGCTGAGCGCGCCTGACATTTTACGACGACTACGCGTCGTTTGAACGTGTTAAATTCATAAAAATAGTGTTTTTAAATTAAAACAAAATAATTAACATATAATTATATGTATATTGCTCAAGTTATTTTATTTTAGACTTTAGTCAAATTTTTAACATGAAACACTTAAAAAAAATTAAATGTGAAAATAGACTTTTGATGTTATTTATTTGTGAAATTAATAACCTACGAGGAGGTTTGTATTCAATTTGCAAGCCATTCAACCCAACAAATAATTTTTAACAAACTTTTCTTTAAAAAAATTAAAAACAAGAATTTTTTATATCTGTAAAAAGAAATTAGATTAAATTAATTCACATTTTTTGATAATTTTATCTTTAACTAAAAAATAATAATAAAATTTGTTGAATTTTATTAAGTATTTAAGATTTGAGTAATAAAAAAAATCTATATTGTGTAAAATTAATTTACATAAAAATTCCAGTTTTTCCCAATTTTAAGAAAATTATTGGGGATTTTAACCTCACACTCAGGTTGAAAATCATCACATTCATAAACAACTTATTATGTATTGATACAAAAAAGAAAAAAATGATAAAAATAATATACTCATAATCTAAAAATCTATCATTGTAAAATTGATACATTTGTACTTCCACTTAATACATGTATGTTAGACTTACCTATCATTGAATTTAACAGAACTATCAGTAACTGGATCATATTGGAATCGCATAAGATGTAAATAAAATACTGGAGGGAATGATGCAAATATAACTCCTTTTTCAGCATCTTGTAAACCATACTCTCCAGCATCATATCTGTTATCACCATCCAATATCTCAACTTGTATATAATCTTTGAATGACTCATAAACTTAAAAAATATAAAATATATTAATGGTATATACTAAGTTTATTGATAGGTTAAAAACTTATATAAAACAAATAAGCCAAATATAAGTGAAATAAGTCAAAGAGGAAATAATATTAGATAACGTACTGTTTTTTTTTCCTTTTATATTGAGTTGAATGTCATAAAATGTCTCGGTTCGTTTTGAAGAATAATCCACATTTTTACAATTTATATATGACTGAAATAAAAATAGCAAAAATATTAGTTAAATATATTTTAAATGTGAAGAAAGTTTATTAAACACAAAATATAACTTACTATCATTTTACCCTCAAATAACTTAGGTATAGTTCCCTCAACACAAGTGCCTTTCATCTTATTTTCCAATTTATCGAGCAACTGTAATAAAATTATCAGAGATAATTAATATAAATTAAATAATAAATTATTTAAATTATAAATACTATGCATACAACTCTTAAAAATTCTTGAACATCATGTTGCATAAATGAATCTAGCGTTTCCCAACCAAAACTTTTTGTTAATTTTTTAGTTCCAACAGGTTTATCATAAAATTGTAGTTCATGGAATACTCTTTGTAACGCTAATGCAACACTTTTATTGCTATCATCACTTTCAGTAGGCATTTTATATACAGCCTAAAAATTGATATTTATGATTAAATGTATGTAACATTAATAAAAAAACAACATAAATAATAAAATTATAATATTGTAAAATATTATTTTTACTTTGCGTAGTTGATTTGTGAAATATAATGCTTGTAAAAGTGAATTCATATAGCATGTGGCACCTTGGTTTTTCAGACCTACATATCCAGTATGTTTTTTAGAATCCCAACTAACACCATGTGGTGCATCAGCTGTTACAGATACCTAAAATGAATAAATCATTATCAATATAATTTTCTTTAGATAAATAAAAAAATAATAAGATTTATATGTTTATACAGAAAAAAAACTCTTAATAATTAATTATATACATTTATAATAAATTAGAGGATTAATTAATTATTATCTTTATGATATATCCACTTCACGAAAAATAATCAATATTAAATAAGAAAATATGTTACATAATATTACATAAAATAAGAATACATTAAAAACTTCAAAGTCATGTTTTAAATCACAAGAAATTAAAAATCAAATATGAAATCTAAAAAATAGTAAGACAAATAATTGATAAAATTTAGTCTAATAACTAATTCTTTATATATTTTATCATAACAATGTGAATTTTAAAATTATATAGTATCTATTTAAGTTTATAAGTTATAAAAATAGTTAAAAGCAGTAGTAAAGTAAGAATAGCAAAACATTCTATAAATGCAAACAATTTTAAAATTAAACTTACCTCAAATATAACTGTATCATTTTTAATAAATCCTTTGGATTCGTCTGTTATGTCTTCCCAAGACATGAAAAAACTAAATCCCCAGTCATTCTCTTTCGGGTAGAACAGGTGTTGAATTTTACGTTCAACATTTGAGATACCTTCTTTTTGGGATATAACACGAAGTTCAGCACTTGCATTAACACTCCAGGAAGTATTTTCTGAATCACCATTACACTAATTAAAAAATAAAAGTGATTATGGTTTTTGTGGTAATAACTATAATTATAATAAATAAAGATCAATAATACTGAATATGAATAATATGATTAAAAAAAATACACACTTGAAGGAAAAAACCAACAGAAGGTTGAGCAGGTTTAGCAGATCGATTGTCTTGGCTTACTCTATGCATTATCATTATTTTCCATGGAAGATCACGAACATAACAAGGAGGTGATAATCTTTGTTCTTTAGATTTACTGAAATTTTCAATTTCAAATCTAAAAGTTGCTTCTGGACGTGCATTATCTAAAAATAAAATAGTTATCATTGCAATTTCTTATGCCAATTGACTCAGTAAGATTTACAAAAATAAATTAGATTTTATAAATAATAATATCTATTCAAAAAACTTATAATTTTACTGAGCTATAAAATCATAAAAAATAAACACTGTTAAGGTTATTTATACATAATAATATGAATTTAAAAAAAGGATAGACCTTAAAAATTTGATAAGTATTATTTCACGATAAGAGTAACCTTAGTTGGAAAACCAACCTAACCTACATGGTGGCAATGGCTGAAGCTAAACAGAAACCAAGTGTCGTGATTAATTTACTATTCTATCAACAGCCTAAATTACATTTTGCTAAGGTTTAAACATTAAAACTATTAGCTGCAACTAATTATCAAAAATAAGATGAAAACTAATTTAACAATGGGAGTGGTTTCATAAAACTAAACAACAATAGGCCATTGCATAAGAAATGAGGTTGTTTTTATTGTAAGAGTATAGTCATCAAAAATATGAAAGCAAAATACTGTTAAAATTTTGTTATATAAAAAAATGTTTTAAGTAGACAATTAACTGAATTAAGTATGAAATTATTAACAAAAAATCAATAAATAATTAATAATAGATATTAGTTACCTTCTTCCATCTCTACGTCAGTTATGGGTATTGTTTCAGGTGGCTCTTCTACTAGATCATTAAGTACATCTATACCACTTGTATACACGAAAGGTGTATCATTATTAGTGAACACTAAAAAAAATAATAAAAATATAAAAAATTATTTATTAAATTAATTAATTTTTATATTTTAACTAATAGCTACAATATAAGTACAATATTTTTCTTTGTATTGCTTATCATTCTTAAAACACAATAATATAGAAATTTAAGCTATACATCCTTCTAAGTAGTAATTCTCATAAATTATATATATTCTTAATATTAAATCATTCAAATAAGGACAAGTATTAGTTAAAAAAAAAAAAAAATGTATATTAAATAAATCTGTAATATTTAAGATCTTAAATAAAATGTACCCGTATTGTTAAAATTAAATCAAACTGGATTATATTTTTATATTTTGCAAGTAACCAACAAAATTTAAAAGTTTGATAAAAGTATAAATGTTTTTTTCAATAAAGTGATATTTTCATTCATAAACAAAAAAAAACTTATACTAATCTCATTCTTAAGAAATTATCATAATGATAACAGAAAAAAAGTCATTATTATTGAACATATGATTAAAACTTTTACGATTAATAAAAATTATTTGAAACATTATCAATTATTCAATATCATTCTAAACACTTTTCTACATTTAGGTATAATTTATATTTTTCATAAAAAAGGAAAGTTGGCAAATACACATTGTTGAATAGAAAGGGCTTTAATGACTAGGCGGTATTCTATAGAATGTTGATTAGTGATCATACTGTAATATAAAATGAAACGTAGTTCAAAATTTAATATATTATAAAAACAAGAAAATGCTGATAACAAACAACTAAAGTCAGAAATATTATAATGACAGCCTAGTTTATACCATAGTGAATTTAAGTGTTGTAAATCATTTTCAATAGGTAGGTTATCAATTTAAAATCAATCAAATAAAAAATATTTTTTTCCTTTTGTATGAATAGGTACGTAATTAATAACATAACGGAGTTGTTGCGTCGTGTCGTCATTACACTTATCATTCAACAGAAGCATAAACCAGCAAGGACAATTTTATTATTTATTCGTGTCAACTAAGCCAAACGAATAAAGGTTGTGTCACTGAAGTGACCGGGGGTGAATGAAACAGATAAACGACTTTTGACTAAGTAAATAAATAAAAAATAACTGTAGCTACTGAAAGAGCGTCTGCGGTTACATACCTTCCGTGATGTCCATTCCTTCCGGAACGTCATTCTGACTGTCCCGTTCAACCATGTGGTTCATAATACGGGGCAAAGGATTCGTTTTTGAGTTTCTGTTCTTGTTCCGTTTGCTGAATGGGATGGCGGTGCGCTTATGTTCCGAATTTTTGTCGGCCAAAACGAACTTGACTGGCTTGCTCAGTGTACGCCCAATTTCTGCGACCGTCAATCACAACGGCACGTGCGTCGAATTTGTACACAAATATATTTTAGATGGCGTGGAGCGTCAATAAATGACTCCAAAATGTAGACCATTCAATACCGCGGACACCGCGACATGCAGTTCCAATTTCGCGTCGGTAACGACGGCGGCGGACGTTCGTTCGTTCACGTTACACGGATTCGGTGCGGAAACGAAATAACAAACAAGATGGCTGTACGTAAGCACACCTGATACCGTGCCGTACATCATGTTGGTCGCGAGGATGGTGCAAAGGAATCGAACAGTGTGTCTCAAAATTATAGTGATAACGAATGGTTGGGTTGTACCACAGTTGTACTTTAGTTCCTCCATTTACAAAATGTTTGAATAATTTTAATATAATTTAAGACTAGGAATATTATGGCTGTACAATCTCACAGATTGTCAATATTATATTAATATTTGACATATTATAGACAAATTCTGTGTACCAGTTGCATAGTAGATAATTATTTATATCAAGTAATATTATCCTTTATTATCTAATTATATTCGTGCCCGTCAAAGATCACGATTAAAAAAAATACTGGTTGCACATCTGGATAAGATAAAGAGACGTTTAACATTAAACCATTTAAACCTTAGAAATTAGATTAAATTAAATTTAATATATTCTGTGACCTTACCATAGAACATGTTACTCTGTTTTCTTTATTAATTAATTGCACCGATTTAAATTGTGGTAGTAGAGAGCGCTGATGATGTATTTTACAACAGCTAATTTCATAGTCAGTTCACTCTTGAGTGCTTCACTGAGAGTCTAAGACAAATAGCCATTAACTAAATTAAGTGAAGAGAGTACTATCCAGAATCTATATTTATAATGATGCAAAAAATAATCGGTTGTGAATTCAGATACTTCCACCATCAGAGTAGAAAATTATTTATATCTATAAAATTAAAAATATAAAGACATTTTTCTTGTATAAATCAATGTATTGCAACTATTACGTTAAATTTGTTACTAAAATTGTTTCTTAATGTAAATTTCAAATGTATACATTATACAAATAATCATAAGATAATTATAACTATGTATATAGTTGTACATTTCAAAATTATTCTTATAATGAAAAACCACAAATTAACATACCTATCTGTAATAGCTACATCATAATTAATTCATATCATGATGTCATTGTATTGATATTTTATTTGTTTAATAAGTAATTATTTCTTATAAATATTAAAACATTGATGAAATCAATTGTTAAGTTTAGCAAGCCAGGTAGTAATTTTTTGGATTTATATTTTCTTTTAAATAAAAACGATTATATTTTAATAGTAATAAATTTACATTGATAAAATATCTTTATATCATAGTGGCATATTGTTAGACTATATTTCACATCTCTGATAATAATAAAAAAATCAGTTTTGAAAAACAAATTAATTTTTATATTATTCAGCATGATCAATTTAAAATATACACAAAACATGAATATAAATCAGGAATTAAAAAATAATAAATCAATAATGTACAGCATTTACATTAAAACTTGTTATATTTTCTTATAGGATTGATTGATAAATTAAAATAAATATGTTTAGTTATTAAGGATTGCAAAATAGCAATTAACTATATTAAAAAAAAAAAAAAAAAAATGGGTACAAAAAAAAGGTATAAAAGTCTGAAATCCAATATCCATAATTGTCGATATAATATTATAATCACAAAAATAATAAATAAAACTAATAAACAAAACAACTAATATTATAATTATTTATGCTAACTTGCATAAAATAGAAGCTATTTCATAAAATATCACAGTAATTAAAATATTGTCTACTTTAACATAGATAATAATAATTAAAATATCTGTGAAGTTATAGTTAATTTTAATTTTAATAAGTATGATTATTGAACCATAAATTACTATTATATAAAAAATAAAACTAACTGTAAAAAAAAAATGATATAATAGTTATTTTTATCTTTTAATAAATTTATTTTCTTTATATCAGTAAAATCAAAATTAAAAAGAAATACTGAACTGACAGTATTGGTAAAATAACAATAAAAATGTTAATAAAAAAACATTAACTTTAACAGTATAAATTGTGGTTAAACAAAAATTACATAAAGATGTAAGACTAGGTGTAATAAAGTAAATAGGTAAAAATTAAAATTATAGCAAGAAAAGGATAATAATAAGTGGTAAGTGGCATTGCAAATTACACTTAAAATTACAATTTATTTTGACTAGACAAAATTACTTTGGTAAGGTTAAAATATCTATAAAACTTCAAAAAACAATATTAAAATGAAAGCACCATAGACAGTCAAGCAAATTTAATATAGCTGATCGTTTTATCTTTTACATGCAGTCTTTTAGTGCGTCATTTAACTCCTTAATATTTAATCATTTTTGATTAATGCAAATGATTAGTTATTTGATCCCCCTTTAAATATTATTCTATTAACTAATATATAGTACCCTTTTAAGAATATTTTATCACTTGTTGCCAATTTTTTGGCTAAATAGTTTTTGTTGTTATTGCACATTACAAACAGCAGAAGTTCCAACACGCTTATCCATACTTGCTGCTCGTCTTTTGATTGCTTCCAAGTATACTTCTCGATTAAATTGTCCAGCAGCTAAAGGCATACTGAAATATATTCCATTTATAATTATATACAAATCACAATCAATTTTTAATGAAGTTTTAATTCTTACGTATCAATACCCGGCCGAATCGAACACTTGTAAAGACCCCAAACTGGTTTATGGTCAGATGTACATACTGATGGAACTGAACAGTAAGTTAAACATTCAATACTAGATGAAGTACAAGTGGATCCTGCAAAAATATATTTTCTTATGATACAATAAAAAATGTACAGTAGAACCTCGATTATCAGTGTTTGCGATTAATCGTGCCCACTCTTCCGAAAATTTATTGTATGTATGCCCCTTTATATTTCTAATTACAATTGAATCAAAATTTTTTAAATTTTATTATTATAAAATTGTATACCTATGTATTTCTAATTAAAATTAAATAAAAAATTTCATTATTATAAAAAGTCTCGATTAACTGTGATTTTTATTTATCCGCGTGATCCTCTCCCCATCATTACCCCGGATAATCGAGGTTCTACTGTACATTATTTATATAAAAACATTTAGACAAACAAGCAAATAATATAAAAAAATAATAATTTTATCTATTAACAAGTGAAATACATATTTAATGGCAATGTAATTTAGTTTTTTTGTTTTTTAATTTTAATTTTCATAAAAATGTTTAGTTAAATAATATATTATATTTTTAATTGTGATCAATTCTATAACCTAAAATAAATACATTTACAAAATAGTAGAATAAAACTGGTTATAGTTTGTGTCTTTGAAATTCTTAACCATAATCTTTTAATTAAAGTGACTATTGTTGACAACTTTGTATCTATTAAGAATTGTTTAAACACTGTTAATGAATCAATTGTAAAACAATTTAATTTATTAAGGTAGTTTAATTTTAATTTTAATAGTTTAGAACCGTTTTTTTTGCAAGTCACATGAGGAAAAAATATCTGTACAAACACTCCAAACTACATGACTATGTTAAGACTAACATATCCAAATCTTGAAAAGTTAATTTTTTTTAAACTAGTTTAAGTTATTATCCTAAAAAAAATTCCTTTAATTATATCCATAAACATTTTTATCTAATTAAAAAGAAAATGACTAGTATAAGTATAGTATAATAATATGCAATACTCTACTGTATAAAAATTTAATTAAAAAAATTATTAGTGATAAAGCATTTAGATATCACTAGTATTAATTAACCATACATCTTTGGATTGTACAAACTTTACAATATTTACCTGTGGGACTAGGTAGAACCTGTTGTTTTCCACATTTGTAAAGAATTCTATCTGTATATGAAGGTGTTCTTTGTTTAGCAGATGTATCAAACATTTCAGTTCCTGGATCATATTTATATGTTGGTGCAAATGTTAATGGGCCTTCTTGGAATCCACGAAATACTAAACCTAAAATTAGAAGTAATTTAATTTAATTTTTATTTCTCATAAAAGGAAAATAATAAAAACAAGTTTATGAAGATGTATTAAAAATATTGAGTGAATTTAAAATTTAATATCTATAATCAAATTTTTTTTTCATGTAATATGTGGCATATTATATCATAATTATAATTACTTTCAAATAATGTACAGTGTACAGTACATCTTTTTAAACTTGAATTTACTATGTTTAATATTTGAGAAGGTAGTTAAATAATGGTGTAGAGCTTTTTGTATAAACTGGTTCTTATTTATATTTTACATAATAGTAATTAATTATTATATTTCTACTTTTAAAATAGTTTAATTAAAATTATTAGCTACAATAGCTACAAGAATATTATTTATTAGTTTTCATTTTTTAGCAAATTTGTTAGATTGATTTAAATATTGATTGCTAATCTTGTGTAGCAAAGTTTATAATGGTGGTCTGTTATTTATTGAAATTATATTTTAATTTGAATCTGCTTTTTTTTCTTAAATTAGGGAAAACTGTATACAGTGGCATAATTAGAGGTATTGCAAGTATTATACTTGGAACACCAAACAATTTTCAGATGTTGCAAGAATATAGTTTAGCAATACCAAAAATAAAAGAGATGTGATCAGAAATTGAATGTAATAATAGATGGAAATGATTAAAATAAACAACACTGATCCTCCCAAATTATCTTGAAAAAAAATGTTCCATGTAAGCTAGGTAGTGAGGAAAAGGGGCTTAAAATTTTGGATTTAAAAGAATATTGTTGTATCAAAATTTACTATCCAAATTTACATATCATAATTATAGAAATGCAACAATGTTTTAAAGAACACCAGCTAGTAATGGATTAAAAAAAATAACAGTCAATGATAATCCACCACATGAAACATTAAATATTGTTTGTAACACCTACAACTTTGATTTAAAACATCTGAATACCTATATTGAAGTTCATAATAGAATGTTTAAGTTTAAGTACTCTGACATATAAACAGCTAGTATTATGGAAAAAAAAATAAAATTTATTAAGAATGATGATTTTCAAAATGGATTTCCAATTTTGAAATAATTTATTTGAATATTTCTAACTATATCCACTATAATTGTCAGCTGTGAAAGATCATTATAATGTTTAAAAAAAAACCTAAACTTATCTGAGGATCACAATCTATCAAGAACAATTAAGTAATCTTGCTATGTTACAAATTAAAAAAAGAAAAGAAAATCAATATAGAAGGATCATTAATGAATTCAACAATAATACCTCAATGAATAACCGAAAATTTAGTTTAAAATGATTAAATGAATATTGACAACATTATAAATTATAATATAAATAAATAATAAAACACTTAAATATAATTATTTATTTATAGTTTTAATGCTTCTTTATGTAATTGTTGAAAAAATGTAAAAGAAAAATGGAATCACTTTCCCAGATTATGATTAGGGGAGGGAAAAGATGTATGCATATTTAAATATCCATGATCACATAAAAAAATCGCAAAATTGAAAATGTTAACCAAATTATGTTATTGACTATATTATATAATAGCTTTAACTTTATTGGTAATTAAAAAGCTTTTCTATGTATGTCTATGAATATTATACCAACATAACCAACAACTAAAACTTTATAGAATAAAATTTGTACTACAAATTAAAAAGAAGTGAACATTAACTAAATAATATAAATAAATATAATAATTTAAATTATCAATTAGTTTAATATAACTTTACTTACCGTTTGAAATACAGTCATTAAGTTGATCTGAAAGTGTTTGGTGCATAGGCGAAGCTAATGGAAATCTGTGCTGTGTTATCCATTTCATTACCTCAGGTCGTGAATGAGCCAATCTAAAGTTTAAATCTCCACACCAAAATACATAATCAAAATTATTGGTAACATCTAAAAACATAAAAAAAAAATTTTATTGACACAATTAATGAATTAAGATTAAACAATTCATGAACCTTTTGTTTTATGTTTAACAGGCAAAAGTTTTGGAAGTTCCAAAGATTTAATAATTCTACGCACATCTTGTAAACGTTCTTTAACCTTTTCCACGTGTGCAGTAAGATGTGATGTTATAAATAAAATTGATGATCCAAATAAAGAAAATGATATTGCAACAGCACCTTTTGTTCGAAATGCAGTTCCTGGTCTAGTACTAAAACTCGATTCTTCAGGAACTAAATATAAGTAGATATTTAATATTCTTAAAAGTCTTAAAAACATTGGAATAATTAATAATTTTTACCAGAACAAAACCAAATTAAATCTCTTCTAATATAAATAGCCAAGTGTAATGTGCCTAGTGAAGCAGAATGAAAAAGAATGTGTGATGGACCAATAGTTTCTTGAATATTTACTTCCCATTCAAACTTATCAGTATAACTTTCTTGGGTACCTATAGCAAGAATATCTGGCAGATGAGGAACAGTATCGGGCAATAATAGTTCATTTAGTTCAGGTGGAGGTGCCTATAAAATAATTGTAATTACATAAAAACATCATGAATTTATTTTATCAATTATTTTATTTACTTGGCCATTCATATTCCACGTTCCAACATATATACGAACTTCTCGATTATGTAAAACTCGCTCCAATTCCATTGCTCCTAGTAAAGAATTTCCTGCAATACGTCCATGCAAATAGTTTCTGAACAAAAATAAAATAAAATAAATATATTTATAAAATCATGAATATTCAAATAAATAAATTAAAATATTAATTTAAATATTTTACCGTTCTTTAACATCAGATGTGGGAATGAGATGTAATACTTCTACTGCAAATAAAGCCTGTCTGGCTAAACTATCCATTGAGTTATTTTTAGTTTCAGTTTTCTTTAAATATTCAGATGCTGTTAAAGTAGTTGTAGATGATGGTCGAATTGGCTTTGAATCTGCTGTATTTATACTAGTGGTTTTTGGAATAATTATATTATCAGCCGACACATGTTGCGCATTGCCAAACATCTTCCGTAACCTCTCACATTTTTCTAAAGAAGGGGTTGACAGTTCTTTTGAATCAATTTCTTTATATTCTGAATTTACACCGTTGATAGTTGAATGTAACCCCAAACTCAAAGACCGTTTATGAGAAGTATTGGGTTCCACTGCACAAGAACAGACATCAGGTTCATTTGAATTCTCTCCATTTTGAAAATCAGATGGTGTTTTTGTTGTTTCAGTAATTGCACAACATAAAGACACATTTGTGCTTCTATTGAGTGGATTAGAAACATTACGATATGGACCATCTAATTGACAAAATGATTGTTTTGATGTATCATTTTCGGGTGTCGTTGATTTTTTTTTCCTTAAGTGTAGAATACTTAACAAGCTCGATTTCTTTTTAGGCGAAATATTAGGTTTATTCATGTTTATAACTCACAGTTCGGTCATAAACGAAGAGTCGAGATCAGTTTTTAGCCGTAAAAAATAAAAATATACTTATGGTAAAGTGACTAGGAAAACATTGTAACGTAATCATAATTTAACCATTCTAACAGTATGACTAAAATTCAGCTACATTTAAATAGGTACTTATATCTAATCGTTTTTCGTAAATAATTAAAAATGTGCTTATTTAGAGAGTACATTGGTAAAGTTGATGGACGTAGACGGTTGTCAACTTGTCGTTTTATGTTTTTCCTGATAAACTGATAAACTTTCTTGTTGTATATTTGTAATCACGAAATATGTTGTGGTAATGCTGTTACGTGATTAGTGAAAGATGATAGTAATTATCGGTTACCGTTTAGTTTGAACTTGGAGCCTGGACTCCGGAGGTACCAAGTGCTGAACTTAATAGGCTATATAATAGTATTTATTAAATAGTAATTATTGATTTATGTAACACTCAACAGTCAGGCCCGGTTTAAGGTCTACGGTGCCCAAAAGGCTGTACAAAATTTGGTGCCCCTATTTTAAAAATATATTTTATACATTTTTTTAATTTTTTAATTAATAACCTACATTACTCTACTCGATACTTGGGTTTATTAGTCAAGTAATTATGTCTATGTATATATTATGTGCAAACAAATAAAAATGTAAAATAAAACCAAATTTATTTTTGATTTATAAAAAATAAAAAATAACCATATCATAAAAAAAATAATGAACTATTATTTGTAATTTTCTTTTTCTGGCTTATTATATGGGTAAATTTGTTAATAGTATTATTAAAATCTAATTTTTCAACCAATTCTTGCTTCAATGCTAAATATTGCTAATGCATTCGCCTTTCCTCCTTCATGGTTGACCTCATATAGGATTTTAATTTTTTATGAACGAAAAAAGCCCTCTTGTCTAAGCAGTTTGAAACTACTGTACTTGGATAAATATGCCTAACTATTTCTAAATTTGGAATCATACCGTCTAATTCTTTGGTTTTGATGTAACTTATACATAAAGAGAAAACAGATTTTACACTTTTATCCGTGGTAATTAATTTTGAAAAAAAATTATTATTAAAAATGTCGATAATTTAAAAAATACCGTACGACAAAACGCATTGATTATTAGTTATTACTATAGGTGAAAAATTTCCTAATTTTAATAAAAATAGCATCAGGACAGTATGCGGTGCTCCAGTGTATGCTTCAGCCTACACTGTTTAAGGCCTTACCGGGTTTGTCTACAGTACCTACTGAATAGTGCAAACAATTTAAATAATTTAGTATTTATTTTTTCCTTCTTCTCCGTTTGTCACTTGCTTCCTGCATCAATGGTCACTAGTTAGTACTCACTAACATTTTGTGAATGTACAATTCCGTGATCAATACGCAATTGCAGTTTTAAAACCGTTTATCTATACATTGCTGGACATGACACGAATAGGAAAAATATAATAAATAAACAAATAATTATATTATCAATAATAATATAACAAATTTTAAGGACTAAACATGTAAGATGAGCAAATTATTCGTCTTTTTTTTTATTGTACATTTTAAACATATTATACCTAATAGATACTAATGATTTATAAGTTAATCAAAACTACTACAAGATATCATATCACTACAAGATAAATTAAAATAATTAAATACATTTATTTATTCTGTGATGCCATGTTCAAAACACAATTATGAATTAAGTTTAAAGTATTATTTCAAGTTTTTAGATGGATAGTCTAACTGTTCGTAGCTATACATGATATATATTATATTCCTCATCTTTCAGTAGAATATTGATCACAAAGCAGAAATTGAGGTCTACAACCTAACTTATTAAAATTTTTTTAATATTTACTAAGTATGCTTTAGAAAGTCAAAATAATTCAACTAGTAAATTTTTACAAGTAATTTGCATTTACATAATATCTTAGTATATAAATAGAGTAATAAACTAGTTTATTTTTTTTAAATAAAACGATTTTGTTCCTAGATTTATTTTATATATTTTTTAATACCTCTCTTATACATAAATATAATAATTACTTATAAGGTATCTGAGTTTTATAGATAACTTATTATATTAATCATTTTGTTGAGTATTATGCGAAGAAAAGAAAATTACTAAATAAGAGAAAAACTTAACAATAGTGATAAGTTTTGATGTGTATTACATTATTAATTTTTACACATATATATGTTATATACAATTAATATTTATACACATTGATGCTTCTATATTGTTGATATTTAAAAATTAACTCAGAAAATAGAAATAGTCGATTGTCAAGTGACAAATATAATTACAGTATTATACTGGGTTAGCTACTAGTTAGCTAACTGGGAGAAGAGGTTAGGACAATAATTTAAATGTGATGATGGTACAAATGAATAACTCACACCCGTCTTGTTATATACTTTGTTTTGTATAGTAAATTAAGAACAAATTTTGGTTTTATAAATTTTGTGGTAAATAAAGTAAATCTCACATAGTCACATGAGATATATATATACACACATAGATAGTAGATATAGTGTATATTTCTTTTACAAGTTTATTTTCCACTAATTAATTACAATGTTTTAACAAAAGTAACTTTCAATGGGCTCATTGACATATTTCTCCATTTGTTGAATAGCTTTCCGTGTTTTTTGTTCAATGTCTTCCTGTTCATCTTCCATCAATTCAGCTAGAAACGGTATTGAATCTGGAAGTAATGGCAAGAAATTTTCTCCCAATCTCTCTGCTACAGCTAATGTAGTATCAATACATATTGATCGAACTTCAGGCAAACGATGTCTAGCTTTAAGCATGATTTGACAGTTTATTTCTTTCCATAATGTGTCATCTGTTACAGCAGCTATTAAATTAGATATACACGGTATTACATAATTCTGACATACATTGTTGTAATCTTCTAGGTCTACTGCTTCCAAAATATCTACCAATGGGTTCATAATTATTTCAAAACGATCTTTAGTTGTAAAATTTATCGTATCATACTTGAAAACATTTGATAACGTTGACACTATTGATTGAATAAGCGATGTTTTTTCAATATAGGTATTGGATTTACATTGAGCCAAAATTAAATTAGCAGTTGGTATTAAATTTCCAGCAAATAAAAGATACAAACCTTTAAGCTCACTAGATAATGTATTTAATAATTTAAAATAGATTAATACACGAACTTCATTATTTGAACCATTTTTCCATTCATTTAATTTATGATAAAATGTACGGAATGTTGATTCAGAACATTTTAATGCCACTTCACTTATTGCAGATATAACAGAATTTTCTACCATACTCGTTTTTATATTTTTGGATTCATGAGTAAAACAACAAAAATCTAGAGATTTTAACAGAAATGTTGTAAATTCTTCAGTCATGGAATTTTTAAAACTATTTTTTGCAATATTCAACACATATTGGAATGCAGTAAACTTTAGGTTCTTTACAATTTCTACCAGAGTATTACTTAATACTGGTTCTAAAATTCTTCCTGGTATTTCAGACAACTTTTCACCTAATTCTTGAAATTTAGTTCTTATTATAGATTTATAATTAACATTATCATCTGCTGAACTGTCATCACATGTAGCTGACAACAATGACAATTCATAAATTAAAGGTACCAAATATGGACTCAAAAAATTTTTTAATTCTGATATTATTCTTAATAAACCAGTCAGTATACTTGGTAATAAAGCTCCATCAGCCATAACACTAATATCGTTCAATTTATGGAGAACAGATATTACTGATGGTATTATCAATGCAAAACTTGAGATGGCTTTAGTTTTTAAATTAGAAACCAACTCTGCAATACATAGCACAAACGTTCCAAGCAATGGACCAACAGATACATCTTGTATAGATTTAGTTACTTTTTGAAGAATTCCCATGAATACATCTAAGTTTTCATTAATATTCGAGCGTTTAGTGACCAATGTAATGGAAATAAGAGCAGTTTGTTGCACATTTAAATCTTCTTTTGTATTAAAGCTAGATATATTAATTATTTCAGACAAAGGTTCAAGTAATTTTAAAGTCTGATATTGAGTCAATGACTTAGATTCAAATAATCTTTTGTTTAGTAAATCCATGGTTCTGTGTTGTGTAGATTTGAGGTCAACAAATGTTAATATATAATTTATAGCATCAACAAATATATCCAGTGGAAGTAAAGCATTTACTTTGTCTAAAATACTGTAATATTTGATAGGCATAAAGTTTTTTGAATTATTATTATTGCCTTGACGTTGTACAAACCATAACGTATTTTTAATTACTTCTGTGAAACCTTCTTTTAATGTATCATTAGATGTACAATACATAACTTTGGATACAAATGTATATGATGATAGTAGGTTGGTTATAAAAGACACCAAACAATATTTTAATTTATACAATTTGTTAACAGAATAGTTTGAAATATCAATCAATGTTTCTTGATCAGGTTCTCCTTTTTTAAGTTCTATAAATTTACAGTAATTTAATATATTGTTACACATATCGAGTAAAACATTTATTGAACATTCAGCACAGATATCCAAACAAATAGTATTACTGGACACTTTATTTTTTGTATCAATTGTACCAGAGATGTATTCTTTATGTACAAGTACAATTAGTTCCCATAAATAACTGTTGGTATTTAAAGCTTGAACAAGGTATCTCAATAATGTTCCACGTCTATGCTCTGGTATATCCAAAATACTACGAGCAAATACTGATAATGCTTTTCTAGTCACAACTTGGCCTTCTTTTAACAAAATAGGAATTATAGTGTTAAGCACTTGACAAGTAATTTTAAATGTATACTCGTCATCTTGGCGCATAACAGAATTACCCATAAAAGTGAATATAGTCATTACATGTAAAATAATTTGGTCTGGTACCATTTGAGCACAGTTTGATAAAAGAATTAATGCATGATGTTGAGTCTGTTGATTTGGAGATAAACGCATGGTTGAGACAATTAATTCAAGGTTAAGATGTTCAGAAACTTTAGATTTTTCTGTCTCGCTTATAGTCATTGAACAGCAATTTAATATACAACTTAAACACAATTGTTTGGTGTATTCTAGTAAGCTAGATTGATCCTCAAACTCCAAACATTTTTTTAATATCTTAAATAAAACTGGAGTTAACCTAGTAACATTTTCTAAACTGTTTTTGTTTTGAATTAATTCTAATAAAGCAATTCCATTTTTCCATAGTACACTGTTAGGGGAATTATCATACATTTTTTCAAGATGAGAAATGAACATTACACTGTCAAAGCTAACTTCATGAATAAAACTTTTAATGGAGTCTATAATGTCATTATCTTCAACTTTTGCTTGTAAATCAAGCAGAGTTTTTATT